TGTTCTGCAGGACTTATCTTTGTGGGATGTCTCATTTCAGCTACACCAGGTGTGTGTGTATGTGTGTGTTTTCTCAAAATTCATGTTGTCAGAAGGGTGTGATCAGATACAAAACCATTTAGTCATGCTAAAGCACCGGAGAAAAAGCCGTAGATCATTCACCTGATGTCTATCACCACACCACCATCCATTTATCTTCTGGGCTAGATTTTCCAACAATGTAGATTGTGTTTGCAGTGCTCGGTCAGATCTGCATGTGGATCACACCCAGTGTGGACTAGTCACTATATGCACTAACTTCAAGTGAGGCAAGCCTGAATAGCAGGCTAGCTAAGGAGCTGCAAAGCTTTCAGGGAAACTTTAATTTCTGTCTGCACCTGAACATACATTACAGTTACAGCTAGGATGAAACACTGCAACACTGCACAGTCTCGATAGAGTTCATCATATTGACTGTAGGTAAAGGTCAAAAGAAAATAATATACAATAACAGCATATAATTTATTAATACTGTAATGCTGTTAATCTTTGAATTGGTATTATAAGTTTGTAATGTTTGGGAGCTAGCCTGTGTAATATTGCAGTATTACATGAGTTAATTGCTAAATTTCCCAAATGTCTTAATGAAAAAAGCTGTGCTGGTGGCACAAACATAATCTCATGTAATGTGCTTTTATTTTTGCAGATGAAAGAAGCAATCATGAATCAAGAAAAACTTGCTAAATTACAGGAACAAGTCCGCATCGGTGGAAAGGTAATTGACTAAATGAATGCACACATCACATGTTTACATGAAATGCTCAATTTTCTTCTCTGCTATTTGTAAATGCATTAAGAAATGCTTAGTTTTCAGGGTTTAGCACCAGGGTGCAACAACTAATTGACGTAGTGGACGAAAATCGATAATTAAATTCGTTGCCAACAAATTTAATTATTGATTCGATTTGTTCACGACGTTATCGGGCATTTGATTGATTGTTAATGGTGCTGTGAGTAACACATAATTATGATACACAACAGCCGCATTCACATTCCAGATGTGCCCTGACTTTACAAGCATAAACGATGCATCGCTCATGGCGACGTTCCCAGCTGGAGAACGTGTTGTTGCCGAGTGTGCAAGATTGGACAGTTTCATACTCTCTAAAGAAGAGAAAACAGTTCTCCTGTCTATGCGTGAGGCGGTGGGTAATCTGCCTCAAACTCCCTTAAAAAAAATCAGTTCTGTGAGGGTTAAGTTAAGGGAAAATATATAAATGTTGTACTACAAAAGCGTAGTAAATTCGGCAAATGTAATGCATGACGGTATTCCTTTCTTTGTAAATTGTGTCAGTTTGTCCCGGTGTGTTGCAGTACTGGCGTGTCAACTGCTCCATTACTAAACAGCAGATCAGCTGCTGAGATCAGGACTTGATTTCAGTGGGACTTTCTTTTGCTGCAGCAGAAACATTCATTAAAAGATGTATTTTTTTTAAAGCAGTATTTATTTTATTGTCGTGACTGTTAATTAGCACATGCCTAAAAGAACCTCAAGTTTAATTTAAAAGCTGATGGCTAAATAAGACGCATTGTGTAATTTTGCTATTCATAATCCGAATAGTCAATTATTCGTTTCAACGATCGATAGATTAATCGGCTATCAAAATAGTCGTTAGTTGCAGCCCTAAAAGGAAGTGAAACCAGTACAGTTTCACTGTTTCAAACAAACAATTTCAGTGTCATAAAGTTAGTACAAACTTTATAAATGAAAAAGATGGAGATGAAATGCTGATTGAAAAGAGGTGACCTGACAAACTGTGTGTGAATAAGAATTGAGACGATATGGTGACATAAGGCTTTGATGTGAGGCAGTGCAGCTACATGCATCTTAAGCTCTACAGCAACACATTTTTAAAGGTAGTTTCTATGACAACTGGCAATTTTATCTTTAGTTTGTGAACATAGCAGCAGTAATTTTAGGCAACAGTGTACTGTGGGTCACAGAGTGAACTAAAATAAACAGACTAAGAATGGTCATCGGTTGCAGATCAGATGCGGTCATTAAGAACTGGAGGTTGACATAGAAACATGTTTGTATGAATGTCCCCACAGGGTAGTGCTCGCAGAAAGAAGAAGGTTGTACACAGAACAGCAACTGCAGATGACAAGAAGCTCCAGTTCTCCTTAAAGAAACTTGGTGTCAACAATATTTCTGGTATTGAAGAGGTAAGCATAAACTTTCATCTGTATTTTTTTTTTTGTCTGCTTCAGCACTGACTGTTCTTTTGTTAGTTGACAGTATAAAACTTTGTTCTATTACAGGTCAACATGTTTACAAATCAAGGAACAGTCATCCACTTCAACAACCCCAAAGTGCAGGCGTCCCTCGCAGCCAACACCTTCACCATCACTGGCCACGCTGAGACCAAGCAGCTGACCGAGATGCTGCCGGGTATCTTGAACCAGCTGGGAGCCGACAGCCTGACGAGCCTCAGGAGACTCGCTGAAGCCCTGCCAAAACAGGGTCAGTAACCTATAATACTAAAACATATTCAAACATCTTGAATAAAGCCATAGTTTACCAAAGATCCCGCTGTATATTCATAGCTATATATTCTGCCTGGTCCTTTAGGATCGGCCACTTGACCATTTAAACTGCTCTTCAAGCCTCTCACAGATCTTTTCTGTTCTCACAGCTGTAGATGGAAAAGCGCCAATTGCAACAGTAGAAGAAGAGGATGATGAAGTTCCAGGTGAGTGCTTAAATGTCTTATTTTACATTACACTTAGCTGTCCATGCACAGTAGTCTGTTCCATCATTCAAAATGAAAGATTACTTCACCACAGTAAACTAAAATGTGGTCGTCTTGCGTCAAACTCCTTTGCAGTCTTATGTGGAAATACTCCTTCACACTTGTCCATTAACAGGCAAGGTTTTTTTTTCTCTCTCTCTCTGTTAAATAATCATGGCAGGTTTGTTTTCTTTTGGCTTGTGAAAGGGGTCATATGAAGGGGATTCATCAATGACTTTAGATGATGGTGCAATGCAGGGTTTTGTGTTTGAATCTCAAGTTCATTGTTTATAAGTTCTTAAGATCCAGTTTGCTTTTCTTTGTGAGGAAAATGGTCCAAACACATGAGGTTGCCATTACAATAATCCCAGCTTTTCCCAGGGCTTTTCTCCCTGCAGCCTTAGTTCTCACTAATGTAACAAACGATTACACATGTATTCAGCAATAAGAGCAGTTGAAGGCTGATGGCACAGGGTTAACAGCCATTGCCATCATGTTGTTATTGGAGTTAAGTTTCCTTTTTTTTTCTCCCACTGAAGGAACATGTTTACTGAGACCTTTTGGATCATTTCCATTTTAACTCTTGATCCTTTGAGCCAAAACTTAGAAAGGCAGATTTCTCACATTTCATGGAGTAATTGAGGCCAACTTTTTGATGCTTTATACGCCATCATTTTCACAGCTGTCTTCAGTAGTTAAGGGCCTCATATGTCGAGCATATTGCAGTCTATATATGAGTGGGAAACCTGAGCATTGGAAGAATTGGGATAGCTTTACACCTATTATGTTTCAGATAAACATGCTTTTCCTGAATAGTGCTGCGGCACCTCTGAGTCATTTGTTGCAGATGGCCCTCTACTCAATCACTTTACCACTGAATCTTTTGTTGTTTCAGATCTGGTGGAAAATTTCGACGAAGCATCCAAGGATGAGGCTAACTAGAGGAAATTTGACTCCCCGGAGTGTCAAAAGCTTGACAGGACCATGTGGGGCACAAGATGTTTTTCTGTCTATTTCGTGAGGTGGAAAGATAAAAGTTAAGAGTACCTGAGAAGATGGATTATCTGTCAGCTTTTGGCTGTGAGCATTCTGTAATATGTGCAACACCTGAATGAAATATTTGCATACTTCTAAGTGAATTATTTTTGAGTAATTTTCTAGAATAGTACTCTAAAGTATTAAAAAACACCAGGGGTAGCAGTATTTAAGGGAAAGGTATTTTAGTACATTCCACCTCTTCTGTTCCACCAGACTCTCCAAATGCTTGTTGTGCTTTGTGGTCTGTATGTCAAGTTAAGAGTGCGAGATTGTGTGTAAAATGTTGTGTTCAAAGCTCCTGCTGTACATCTGTGTCCTCCCATGTTACTGAACCTTAATTCTTTGTGGCCTCACTCAAACCACCATATCTGGAATAAAACCTTTGCTACTGTCAATAAATAGCCAAAAGTTCAGCTTTATCTTTTTTTCTGCATTACGAGGTGAAGGATTTATCGCTATAGCTCTTATAAGATGGGAAATGTATCTTCAGGTACAGTATAATGGTAGATACAGATAAATTAGACACTGACAATCATTGGGGGAAAAGAGACTAAATGTATAACCATAAAAAATATATTTTAGGGATGACATGTTTTTCAGTCCAGACTGACATAGCTCAATAACTATTAGATTGCCATGCAATTTGGAGCGGACATTCATAGTCTCCAGAGGATGAATTGTAATAACTTCAGTGATCAGGTGACTTCTGATGTAAGGTTCAGTATGTTCAAAAATGTTGTCATACTGCTTTTCATAACTCATTCCAGCAAGTCCTTGTCTGCTAATGAAGACACACAGGGCAGAACCAGTGAAGTTGTTGACAGTCTTCATTAGTCTTTCGGAAAGGACATTGTGAAATAAAAACTGCTAGGATCAAAAGTATTTTTGCAATAAAATATTATGGAAATAACTTCTCAGAATGACCGAAAAAAAAAAAAAAATCTATTATATACTTTATCTATATTCCTGATTATCTAATTTTACTAAACTCCATATAGCTGAAGTTCTTTGGTGCACAATCATCACTGCAGCACAGAATCATCATTGTTTAAGAATAGTTAAGATTGTTAGCTCATAATATTATAATCCTATAGCTTTACATTGTCATCCAGACTTCACTCCTGCCCCATCTACAGTACTAACAGCTGTTAAACAAGTGTGTATTCTCCCCGTGACCGTGACTCTGTTGAACACTCTTTAAAAAGATCTTTTAATTAAATAACAGCTTCATTTCAGTGACTATAAACAGTTGTTTGACCTTTTTGACATGCAATCAGATATATCTGTACAGAATGATGAATTACACTGCGGCCAATACAAGTTATTTCTTTATACACCACTTACAGTATGACTGATAAAATACAAACACTCAAACAGTGGCAAACGGCACAAAAATAACCTTGAGACATTTGAATGAGGTGTGAGGTCTTAACATTCACAACACATCAGTAACAGTATCACACTACAGACAGACTTACATCGATATGTGCATTATTTCACATTACGACACAATGTCTAAATTATTCAGATAAATAAACTCAGTAAAACCAACACAAACATCTTCAGGATCAAACAGCTTGGCAGTCTCAAAGCACACAATTTGTACCATGTGCAATCTACCCACTGTAGCCTTCAAAGTAGCAAAATGAGCCTTAGAAATGTGCTCACTATGAAGACCAGACAGTATGAACATGTGACAATTCAACATATTACATAATTATCCTTTTACTCTTAAAACGGGTTATTATGTTGAATAAGTTAGTTTGAAAAAAAAAAACACTTGCTATAACAGGAAAAGGAAGGAAGAGCCAGTGGTGGCATGTAACGCAATATACGATATTAAAAAACCACAAACAAAACAACCATGCTTAGCAAAATCAATCCTGCACTGCACATATGGCAGCATAAACTACAGGTGGTGTGCAGCCCATGCTGGGTTGTAGTGAAGAACTCAACTTTACATCTGTCAGTCTATGAGGAGCTGATTTGCAACTCCACAGTCATTGTGGAAAAAGTGCACAGTAAACAGCTTGAAAGACGGTTAAAATTGAAAATTCACAGAGCACAAATGTTCATGTGCATCATGACAACAAAATAATGTTGGTATGATACAAAGCTTTTGAACTGTCACTTAATGGAACAAAATATTCCTGTTGGCCGACAGCCTGGGCGTGCTACGTGATTGTCCAAAGCTCAGCGCTGTCCCTTTGGTTTTCGTTCTCAAGTGTGACAGTTCATTCTCTGATTCCCATCAGTAACTTCAGTAAGTGTGCTTCCATCACCTGTTGAACTAAACAGAGAAACATACCCGGAGTTTGTTAATCAGAGCTGTGTGTCATGTGAATTACTAGTGAATACTACTCCAAATATTTACTTTCCCAGTTGGCAATCCTTCTCACTCAGAAGGGAGAGTTTTATTCGGAGCTTGCTTTTACTCTCTTGGAAGCATGTGTTTCTCAGCCTGTGTGCACCTACATGTTTTATAGCCTTACATGTAGACTCAAACTATGTGTTTAATTGACACATACCATTCCGGTGACCCATAGCCACAGCCATGTCCATTGCATTGAATCCAGAATCTGACTCAGTGGTAGGATCAGCACCACTCTCTGGAAAACATACCAAAACTTAATTATTGTACATTTGATGTTGGGCATAAGACCTGCTATGTTTATCCTTCAAGAAATATTAATACGGATGGATATTTCTGACCACAAAGATTTGTCCTCACCTAACAAGATTTCGACACAGCGCACGTGGTTCCCATGGACAGCGTACAGCAGAGGGGCTCCTCCATTCTGAAACCCACAGAAGGAACATCACAACAGGCCAAATAGACTGACGCCTCCACAGGGCTTCATTTGATAAAACAACATTAAACCCCCTGCACAAAATGAGTTAAATATCTCTGTTATATCATATAATTTCTGTTGTCATATTATACTGAACCAGGTCCAGTGAACATGTGATAATATTCTTACCCAGTCATATTCATTTACATCAACGCCACAGTCAATGAGCATCTTTACAATATCAGTGTATCCCTTACTGCAGGCCAAGGACAATGCACTTTCCCTCCCTTTGGCTAGGAGGTTGGGGTCAGCTCCCTACAGCAAAGAATGATATAGAATGACCACTAGTAAATAAATAAAGAGGGCATGCTCTAATATAATAAAACCATGAGATCTGTTCATTTTCCCATACATTTTGGAGCAGAAACTCGACGACAGCAATTTGTCCGTGTGCAGCTGCCCACATCAGGGGGGTAAAGCCTTCCTCATCTTGGAGATTGATCACAGTTTCTATTAAAATAATACATAAAAGATTTTTAAAAAACAATGATCCCTACATGTTTTCATCACCATCCATCATCTATACCAACTTATCCTTTGCCGGGTCTTGTTAAACTCCGTATCTTTTGTTTTTGGATTGTTGTTCTGACAATACAAGACATTTAAAGACATCACCTTAGACTAATCTATAATAAATATAAATGTTAGTTGCAGCCCCTAAACACCAGTGGTTATGAGTGTTGTTTTAGATCATTTCACCACTGCACGACTACGACAAACTGTACCAGCTTGAGAACTCCGATGGGCTGCATACCTTGTTCAATCCTGCTGGCCAGAAACACCATTTCACCTTGGGCTGCAAGCTGATGAATGGACAAAGCTGAGAAAGAGAGAAGAGCATGCATACATTGATTAACATTTTGGCCGGATTCATGTCAGAAACATTTAATAAGGATAATAATCAGTGTTGATGGTAAATGCAGTCAATCGAAGCAATAAATTCCTCAGTGCGTGCTCAATTGCATGAGAAAGAACCTTCATTTGACGTGACAGTGACACAGTTGGGGTCACAGAAGAACTACAGACTACTTCAGCTTACGTGTCTTACGTGACAGTTCTTTACGTCTAAAGACCAAATACATTTTACCGAAAGTGTCCGAGAAAGACGGAAAAATCGCTGTTTGCAGACACTGTTATGCTGAATTGTCTCCTAGCACATTCACTCCATCTGTGGCTGACTTCTTAGAAAAGGCAACAAACGGTCTGACCTGCTTTGAGTGTTTCTGTCACTCGTTTATGAGAAGGCGATTAAGTTAGACGCAACTAAATGTGGAGTGCACACGTATTCAAGCCTTTATGGTAAATCCACTGAAACGGACCAGTGCACGCTGACAGGCAGGTTAGAGATTCTATCCTGTCATTTTCTGTCTTTATAAAAACAAGTGTTGCAGTATGAGATTCCTACCTGAAGAGAGGCTATGAAGTCTTCATGTTACGCGATATGAGAACCACATACAACATTATTTATCAAACTGGCTTGATGAATTTAGCGGGAGGATACACAAGACAATGTCCGGTTTTCAAAATAAGATCTATACAGGATGTAAATAAGAATAATTGTATTATATTCACAGAAAGTATAAAACATATTACATGTGTACATTAAAAGTAAATGAACACGTTATTTACTTTACCAGGCCCTCTTGGGCCTCAGACCCATCCACCATAGTCTCTCCAAATCCTGTGAGAAACACTGAGTAAAAAGCACATTTTGACTATTTACTTTATGCAATGGTTAAAAAAAGGCAAAATAAGTGGATAAAATGTGAATGCACTTCAGTTCGGTATTCTGCCAAGAATTTTCATTTTGGTGCATCCCTAGTACAATGCATCCTGGTACATGTAGGCAGAGCAGAAGAACTCTGCTTTCTCAGTCAATAGGTGCGTTCAAGATGACGGTGGCTGACTTTCGCTGACTTGATAGTCTAACGTGAGCTGCAGGTGACTGCAGGGGGAGAGGGGGTTGTAGCCAATTCTGTGGTCTGGTCGCTGCCACACCGACCACTGGTCGCTGCCACACCGACCACTGGTCGCTGCCACACCTACCACTGGTCGCTGCCACAGTCTCAAAGGGAAAGCTCCTTTCTGTTCCTTGTTACACAAACTGTGGCTGTACACATTAAAAAAAGGGTCAGTTTCAAGTTTTTATACAGTCTATGGTTCCAAAGTAGACCTAAAGTGACCTTAGATCATTTAAATTATCTCAACTGGCAGATGATACAATAGGGAGATATGGATCAAAACAATTATATGTGTTGAGGAATTTTCTACTGTATCAGGCTTAAGAATGAACTTGAACAAATCTGCTTATTATTTACATTAAAAAGATAAACAGACTTAAATGAGCATACTTTCCTAATAAACTACCTTACGCTGCACACCGCATGGCTGACAGGACGGCTGCACTTCTCCACCATCAGCCACTATCGTGCTCACAGTTTTGAACAAACAGGTTCGTATGATAATATGCTTGCTATTGTGTGCCGGCGGCCATCAGTGCGTAAAATAATAACACTTAAATATTATACCTATCATAAAGGGCGAAATTGCGTTTCTCCTTGAGCAATAGTCTTTGGTGGCATTTTTCACGCTATTGAAACTCAAACTTTGTTGCAATATCGCAGACATCTGGGGCAAGTAGTGGACTGCCGTGTGTGTGTTTGTGCGTGTGGGCATGAGATTAGGCTCCACACTGCTGCCACACTGGTCGGTGTGGTCGCTGCCACTTGGGGCGCTAAAGACAGTGGTCGCTGCCACACTGACCACTGGTTGTAGTTGGTTAAATCTACTGTAATACATCTTTATCATAATTCTTTGTTAAAATATTATGGACATCTATCTAGATCACAATACTTTGATAAATATAGCCTACAATATTATCGATTATGCCTATATTCTTATTGGTGCACTGTATATTGCAGTTTGTGTGGTTAACCTGCAGTAATAAATCTCTATCTTTGGTTCTTGCCTACAAGAAGGAGGCCAGTGTTATCACCTGTGAAGGAAAGTGTGGTGACCACTTGTTGGTTGAATCCAAGCTAGACTGATTTTAACAATAAGAATATAGTTAATCAAAAATTAGTAGGCTATATTTAACAAAGTATTATGATCTAGATATATTTGTTACTGTAGATAGGCTATAATCACACAAACCGCAATATATAGTGCAACAATAAGAGTAGGCATAATCGTTAACATAGTATATTTAACAAAGAATTATGATAAAGATGTATTACATAGTAGATACAACCAACCAACTGCAACCAGTGGTCAGTGTGGCAGCGACCACCGTCTTTAGCGCCCCTAGTGGCAGCGACCACACCGACCAGTGTGGCAGCAGTGGTCTGTGTGGCAGCAACCCAAGACTTTGGAGCCTCATCTCATGCCCTCTCTCGCCAAATTAAAAGATTAAGTCTGGTTCGCGTTGTCTTCTTCATACTTTGGTGTTTTTGAATTGAATAACGGCAACCATGCGCATAAAATACTATCTATTCATTTTCAGGCCATTTTATCAACTTAGTTAGCCATTTAACTTTGTAAAGTATTGTTTAAGGTTGCAAAACTTATAACCTCCAGACCTCAATTTTTTATGTTGCATAGGGTATCTTTCCCTAAATAATGACATTTGTTCCTCCAAATGAAATTAAATAAGATCTTATCTAATTCTTTGTATATTTCAGTAGGCATTTCCAGTGATAAGGATACATAGATATGGATATTCCCTCAGTATAAGATAGTAGAACTCTACCATTCAGTGAAAGATGCCTCATCCACCACATGTTGAACCTTTTTCATTATTTGTTTAATCATAGGGCTGAAGTTTAGGTTGCAGAGTTTGTCATTCTTATCACACCCAGGTATGTAACTGGGTTCTTCACAGGGATACCATTAACTTCTGATAGTTCACATTCCTTAAGTGGTAGCCTAATAAACAGATTCAGTTCATTCTTAAGCCTGATACAGTAGAAAATTAGACAAAAAATAGACAAAAAATTGTATCATCTGCCACTTGAGATAATTTAAATGATCTAAGGTCACTTTAGGTCTACTTTGGAACCATAGACTGTATAAAAACTTGAAACTGACCTTTTTTAATATAGCCACAGTTTGTGTGACAAGGAACAGAAAGGAGCCTTCCCTTAGAGACTGTGGTAGCGACCAGTGGTTGGTATGGCAGCCTGGCAGCAAGGCAGCAACCAGTGGTCTGTGTGGCATCGACCACTATCTTTAGCGCCCCTACTGGTAGCGACCAGTGGTCGGTGTGGCAGCGACCAGACCACAGAATTGGCTACAACCCCTGCTGTGCAGGGGCGGGGTATAAAAAGGGCGCTGTCAAGTCGGACACATTCTACCTGCAGCAGCTTACTGTGAGCTGAGATCAATGACTGATCTCACGGAACTTGCAAAGAAAAATATCGCGAGACCAGGCAATAGTGTGGTTCCAACTTGGTGCAGTCGGGGAAAAGCCACCTTGCTCCCGCGAGGTTTTATGCTGCGTTCAAGGCAACTCGGACCTGGGAAATTTCCATCCTCCAACTAGAAAAACTACCCTGGAACGCCACCTGAAGTCGGATTTCCTGCTTGTGAACTCGGAGCAAAAAATACAGTTGAAACTCGAAAAATTAGCATATCGTGCAAAAGTTTCACCTTTATGTACCCCCACTTCACGAGTAGCAGCTGAATTACGTCACAAAACAATGTCAGCGCCCATGGATGCACACATTATAAATGGTAAACCATAAACTAAAAGGCAACAAAAAGTATATTTGCATGTATTTAAATTAAACTAATACATACATCATATAGTAAAACCTGTTCTGCATGTACATTGATGTAGAAATATGTTAGGCCTATTAGGTAGCTGGCTACAGTAAAGAATCTCATAAAGTCATCATCTCTGTATAAAAGTTATTGTTAAAAATGCCAAAACATTAGGAAGTATAATCTACAACATTGACTGACTTGAGGGTTACCAACTGATGTATGGGTACACAGGACTAGTATAGTAGGCTATCGGCTATTTATGTCAGTTGTTGCAGTTAAACTGCCATCCTTTTAATTAACACCTAAAACACTGCTGAGGGTGCAACTGTGTGTACACTGACTGTCATGGTCAGCCCTGGTTTTCGTTCACTTTCTGCGTCATGCACCACCATGCACCTGGAACGCTTTGATGTCGGAAGTTTCAACTGGGAAATGTCCCAGTTCCGACCGGTCTCGAACGCGGCATTAATGTCATTTGACACGGTGACGTTTTGCAGCGCCAGTGAAAGTCGGACACAATTTCTAACCAGCATGCCTTGTTTTAACTCCAGCATGCATCACGTTAAGTCAGCTGTATGCAGCGCCGCATTAAGTCAAACGCACCTAATATTTGTAGCACATACTGTTTCAATTGACTACATTTACCATCAACCCTGGCTGGATGTGCACATTAAAGATGCAGAATCTTCTCTTTAAAACAACTGTGGTACTTACAATGCACCAAAAGAGGTGTGGAAGAAACCTCATTCCCACGGTGTTTGTTGGTGAGTGTGGTGGACTGTTTGATGGGAGAGAAATGTTTGGTGGTGGATGGCGTGTAAACATGACGCACTTGTATACCCGGTGAAGGTGAGGTCTGGATATTGCACTCAGCTGAAAGAGAAGGAAAACATTTTGCATGTAAGTAAGCATTCGTTACAGCCTCGTACATCACACATTTCACAAGATTACAAACTTAAAATGTAAACTCCATGTCAAGTTCCTGTAACTTTAGAGACTAATGAACGGGGCACTTACCTTTGAATAAAACAGAAGCCACCTCCAGGTCAGAGTTGACCTGATCCTGGATGTTCTTGCTGTCCTCCTCGTTGAGCGACTTGACAAATCTTGAACAAACATTCATGTCAAAGCGGTTGGGCAGGATGAACTTGATGCCCATGGCCACATTTTGGGTGCCCGTGTCATCCGGGCTTGCGCCCATTGACTGTTCAGTCTTGATGGCACTCAAATCCGGCATTACACAGATCCCCTCCATGTCCTCAGAAGCCAGAGGACACTCTGCTGTCCCATCTGAGGCTGACACGCAGTCCATCCTCTGATCACTCACTGAGCACTCACACTAAGGTTAAACTGAAGCCACTGAACGCCTGAAATGTGGAGACAATATATAATGAACACACAAACCGGTATTTCGTTTCAGTTCACATTACGTATAACGTTAATGTTACTAAGCTTTGGCTGGCGATGCTAATCTAAATTCTGCAGGTCGCTATGTTGAATACTAACCACTGGCTGTTAGCTAACGTTATCAGTTAGCATGCTAGCTTTTGTTCTCGTAAGCTTCCTCTAGTCACCAACTAACGGTGGCAAATACGTTTGAACATGGGAACACATTAAGCGTAGACGTCATAAAAGGCTATTTTTAAAAGTTTGAAATATATTTCTTACTCGATAAGGCATTGTTTTACGTGAACATCCCGAGCGGTCACCCTTCTTTCAGTGTTTTGATAGATTCGCGCATGCGCTGCATCCACTTCTTCTTTGAGTTTTAATGACGTTGTTGGCATCCAAAACATGTTGCATTACCGACACCAACTGGATGAAACAGTTTCCCTGTTCCAAAATAACAGCGACCACTGAAAGCATTGCCATTCAAAACATTGTCCATTCTGTAACAGACTGAGTTGTCTGAGTTAGTGCAAATCTGTCCCTGTGTCTATTTATTCTCACGATATGTCCACAATGTAAATTAAGCCATTTAATCCATTTTAAATTCAAAGATGCTGTCAATTGATGTGCATATATATTCAGTTTTTTATAGTTCACTATCTAACATGTAAAAGGTTAAATTACTCAGGTTTTGTGTTTGAGGACAACGCTGCCTATGGCCAACATGAATGTTGGACGTGGAGTCGCAGGGATCGTTTCAAGATGACAAAGATTAAACAGACACAAATGAAAAGGAAGAGATATATTAACACAATTAAGTTTCAATCATCATTAATCATCATTTGATAATTTCAACAAATATCGCATGAAGTCATACAGATCATTAAGTGATTTCAATATAGGCTCCAATCCACCATTTTTGAGTCTTATCTGGCAGACCAACTCTGTAATATGTGTCAGTGCCCTTAAATCCAACTAATGGCTCTGATGGAATGATTACTCACCGTGCGCCTGGGCAGATGGTCCTAATAATCAAATGATGACACTTTATCCTAGAGAAGGGGCTTACATAAGAAAAGTAGACAAAGTAGAACGATTTGAGCTTGTTTGATAATCTTTTAGATCAGTTTACCACATTAATGACGGGGAATTACAAATTTGTTCCAGCAGTGGTAATTATCTTCACTCAAAGTTTCAACATATTAATCTGATTTAAAGGTTACAGCAAATCTTTCCTCGGAATGTGTCAAATCCGCCCATCGAAAAGCATAAACATGGCATTAGTTTTCTTTTTTTATTTGTTGTGAATTGAGTGGTGAGTGTTTCACCATTCCTCACTGTGCTGTATGTATACAATTCATGTTTCTTTCAGTAAACAAAACATCTAAATTCATTTGTTTTACAGTGTGAGGTTTATTGACTTTCTTTGTTTTGACTTAAATGTCTTGGAACAGAAAAGCTGCAAAGTAATTATTTTCTAGATGTCTGATTAGGCTTTGGCTTCACATTTGATACTGATTTTGTTATGGGGTGTATTAATCATGTGATGTAAAGACTCACTAACCTATCAGCATGTGAGTTTCACCTTTGAAAGTTGTGTTCAATTTATTGTCACCTTTGTACCAGACAAAAATAATTCAAATCCCTCAATCTCAATTTAAGAACTGAACTTTTGTGATTAGTTTGAGAGGGCAAGAGGAGCTTTCAAGGCTCAGTTTGTTCAAGTAAAAATTACCACACAGTGATTCATAAGTTGTTATTCTTGGACTGTGTGTGGAATGTCTTTACAGAAAAAAAGGGCTGATTGAAACAGTCTGATGGCGGCGGTGCAGGGATCACACCAGCAGGCGCTGCAAAAAGATACATGGATGTTAGTCCTGAGGCCTCTTTGTGCACAGATGTTATTGATGTTTACTTGTTTTTGGATCGTCAAGGGTCGTGGTCTGTCACGGACTGATGACACCAGGAGGTCTTGGGAATAAAAAGCTTCAATAAGTTGCCTCATTCTCTGGAGATCAAGATCACGTGCAACTCTGGTCTTGTCTGACTTGTTTTGACAGCATGTCAGTAAGCTTATGAATCCCACAGTGTGCTGCTCTCGCCATCTACAGGACACCTTGATCACATGCACTGAAAACAAGATGAACAGACCTTATATATCATACTTTAACTGGTGTGGACATCACATTGAGATACATTTTGCTATTATTTAGAGAAATAAGTGTAAATTAAAGATGATGCATGTGGAATGTTTGAAAACCTCCACAGGATGGCAGTCTTGCCAGTTGATTCACTTTTTACTTACTGATATATTTTTTGCCAACAGATGGCACCAGAGTTTAACAGATTTTAAATCACATTGTTGCTAGTAAGATGGGCTTTGCTCCTCTCCCAAATGGCCTATAATAATCTAATCTTCCCAATTAAGCAAGAAAACACTGTGCGATGGAAACTGTAAATTAAGCCAGACTGCTGACTATGTTAAAAGTAAGACCGCAGACTGTCAGCTGTGACTAATCTGTTGCTCATTATCAGTCAGTAGGATAAGTATGGGAGCAGGAAGGGTGGGAAAGTCTTCCTCTCTCTTCCTGTTACTGCCATTCGTCTGTGTGGACATCTGTGTCTTCTGTGTCTTATTATGGTTACAATTCAACTGAGACCTGAAAGAATCTTTCTTAGGAAGAAAAGTATTTAATGCAAAATGAACAGTGATATGAAACAGTGCAGTCTTGTTTCCTCAAAATGCACAAGTAATTTATACTCAACTGCTCACTTCTTTGTTTGAATTAAAAACTTTCACACTATAATTCTCTTATACATTAAGAAGATGTCCATCATCCTAAATTAAATTGTATATTTGATAGGTTACAAAACTGTTAGACTAACCGATGTAGTGATTTAATATGAGTTATGAAAATACCGAATACTACATGGTCATTATTGACCTCTGCTTAATGTCACTGCTTAGTACCACAGTTACATTTATGTTATAGTGATACAATCAGTAATTGTTGAATAGTTACAGCCCAAATGATAATGGTGAATGCATTAAACAGTTAACATTAGCCACCATAAGCTACTGGTCATCCCTTATCAAGTAGGTATGAAGTATCAACCCCCTGAGTGTATTCAATTGATCATGGGTGTGTTTTATTACTTAAGGATGCGTTGTTACCATTACTTCATTCAAAAGTTCAACAAAGACAGCTTTTTCAGTTTCAGTCTTTGTCTTTCTTTTCTTTTTAGAACAAAAGTTAGTTTAGAAAAAAAGTTAGTAGAAAGACTTATATTTTACACATGATTTTCTCTATATGCATTTTTTGAAATCAATATTGTTTGATGTCAAAATAGGGCAATATTACCGTATGCACCGTAGCCCCAAACCTTAAAGGGGCACTTTATCGATTTTAAACATGAAAATTTGTTAATTAGTCTGGAAGAGTTCCATTCAGCCTCTCAAATGAGTTTGTTAATGTCTTATGTGGCTCTGGAGGAGTTTGCCAAAGTTTTATAAAATAACCCTAACTGTGATGATGTCCTTAGGGATGTTGCATTATGGGAAATGTAGAATCCAGCATTTTTGGAGCTTGACCCATTTGAGTTGGTGCACCCCGCCCCCTTCTTGGATAGCTCCTGGATAGCTTGGTAGTTAATGCCACTTACTTTGGTAAAGTTGATCGTGGCTTTGATTCCCAGTCAGGGAAGGTCAAGGTCCTTAATGCTACCTCAGGCAGGCGGGTAGGTGAGGTAGGCATTCATGGACTAGAGCAGAAAATATGGATCTGATGCAATGCTAATGTACAAGCAATCCCGGTGAGAAAGCTTTTATGCAGAGACTATGGGATATAGCTCAATGTTCTAACATCAAACGGCAACTACTATCACAACTAGAGATTGACGAAGTACAACAAATATGCTATGACAAGGGGGAGCCAGCCACCAACTATTCGACGACCACGACTAAGATTGCCAAGGCTAAAGGATCAACAGGAGTCCACTAATAGCTTTCATCAAGAACTAAATGGGGCTGTGGAAAACAAGTCTAGATCCACCCAGGGCTGAGACTGAACAGTACTGGAAGAACATCCCACAACACCAATGCTGTGATCTAAGAACAACGATTATAACATCCAAGAAAGAGTGGCAGGTATGAAGAGCTGGACAGAACCAATCCCTGAAATGATCCACACCTACTGGCTGAAGAAACTAACTGCATTCCATGAACGGCAGCAAAAATGAACCAACTGCTGATGGATGGGACCCACCCAGAATGGTTAACCCAAGGACGGACAGTCCTGATCATGAAGGATCCCCCAAAAGGGAACAATCCCATACCGGCCAATTACCTGCCTCTGCACAACATGGAAGCACCCTGTCAGGCATCATAGCCACTAAGATGAGTAGGCACATGGCTCAATACATGGACATGGAAGGGAATGGGCAGTAATACCAGGGGAGCCAAGCACCAGTTGCAAGACTGCAAGAGACTGCAAGACCAGGCAGAACAATCTGTGCACCGCCTGGATTGACTACAAGAAAGCCTACGACTCAATGCCGCATACTGGAATGCTTGGAAATGTACAAGATCAACAGGACACTAATAGCTTTCATCAAGAACTAAATGGGACTGTGGAAAACAAGTCTGGAAGCCAACTCAAAGCCAATTGCCCGTGTCACCATAAAATGCGGCATATAGGCCTGCATAGGCCTGAGCCCCCTCAGCCAGATCATCACAAAGACTGGCTACAGGGACCAGTCGTTTGGACTGGACAAGTGTTATCGCATGGTATCAAAAAGAGGGAAAATGATCAGAACCGAGGGGGTTGAACTACCAGAAGGCCACTTTGCAGATGTTCAGAACAGCTACAAATACCTTGGGCTGCTGCAGGCTAACGTAAACCATGAAGAAGTAGCAAGGAAGTCCGCCACAGCCAAATACCTACAGAGAGTAAGGCAGTTCCTGAAAAGTCAGCTGCATGGGAAGAACAAGATCCGAGCCATGAACACATACACCCTGCCAGTCATCAGATACCCCACTGGTATAATAAACTGGCCAAAGGAGGAGATAGAGGCCACTGACATCAAGACAAGAAAGCTCCTCACAATGCATGGAGGGTTTCACCCCAAATCCAGCACCCTGAGACTGTACACCAAGCGTAGCGAGGGAGGCCGAGGGCTAGTGAGAGTCAAGACCACTGTCCATGACAAAAAGAAAGTTTCAAAATATCCCCATCTGTTTTCTCACAAACCGTACCCTGTGTATACCCTCATTAACAGATAACATGGACAAAAAGAGGATCCATATGAGGATTTGTAAGTACAGCGTGGGTGGCTCACCTTGAGAGAGAGAGAGAGAGAGAGAGAGAGAGCGAGGGGAGAGGGAGAGTGAAAGGGGTGTGTGAGTAGGTATTCCCTGTGTGCTAATTATTAATAATAATGTTTCTAATTTTATATTAAATTTACAAAGTAAAGTTTTCCACTCAGGTTTTCATTTCATGAACAAAATCCACAAAAAGTATTATTGTAGTTATTACACTACAACACCACCATTACATATTTCCTGCCGCACACCCCCTAGAGGCAGCTCCACACTTTGGGAATCGCTGTATTACAGCATCTTCATTACCTTTAAAAAATATGTCTCTATGGCAATTCCCTAACTTTATGGGAGTGCAATACTAAATTGCTGGAGTACCCCTAAGACACAACACCTCTGACACAAGTAAATATTATCTTATAGCCTCAAGCTGAGCCTCAAACTGTTTCCTGTGACAAAAACAGACAGCATAAATACACAGGAGATAATAATAACACCTGCCCAATGATTGCATTTAATGCATACCGCAGAATTATATAAAACACACTTCTGAGGTATGTTTCATACTATTATTATCTCTTCGTCAGTGTGTTCCTGAGTGAGAAACACCACAGATGCAGTGGTGGAAGAGGCGGTATACTGTATGGATTAATATTATTGCTGTATTAATGTGTAAACAGCATTTTAATGTTGCAGGTGGCTGAGGTGGAGCTAATTTCAACTAGCCTACTTTATATATTTATCTAGCTATAAAAATGCATTGTATTTGTTTTGTGTATACAAACTTTTTATATAACTATACAAACTGTTTTGTGTGTATAGGCTACTGCACGTCAGTGTTAAGACATAATTTACACTATTATCATCTCCACTATCCCCTTCCACTGTTAGCCAACGCAAATTCCACATACTAGTATCCTATCTGCTGTAGTAAAAACTGCGTATCTACAGTAAATAGCCACTTAAGTTAAGTAGTATAAAATGGATATATTCTGTATAAGTAGGATTACTTAAAATGTGTACTTGAGCACAACAGAGTAAATTTACATAGTTTCTTTCCACCACTGTAAACATATGTGTTGATCTTGGTGTAGGCTACAAGCAGAGCCAACATACAGGAACGGCTGAGCGTGAAAGTGACATCACTACAACTTGCCTCTGATTGGAGGACATTGAAATTACATCTGACCTCGACTGACCCCGATGTAGGCCTATATACAACAGCATAACGTGCAGTTATTATACTGTAAATATAGTCCTTTAAACTCACTGTTTGCATACAGGTGAGGCGACATTAAACTGATAACACGGGCATATATCATATCATGGGAATGTTCCTGGCTCTGCAGCCCGGTGTGTGAGAGGGGGCTGGACCAGAGCAGCAGGCTGCAGAACTCTGGCGACACCTGCAAACAAACGAAACCGCCTCTCTCCCGGAGCAAAGAGGCGGATGAAGCGGAGACAAAAGCCGGAGTAAAGGGTGTGAAACGTGGTTATTAAGCGTAGAAGCAAGCAGCAGAAACTTTTTTTTCCTTTGTAAAGAGAACAAGTCGTGCGATTTGAGATCCCGACAGAAGCCCACACTTCTTGATCGGACCGAGTGCAGAGAGCTGAGAGAGACGACAGCAGGTAATGGCAAGCTCATTCATCTTCATTTGAAAGAACTTCTGCTTAAAATAACTTTTGATGAAGTCAGTAAGAAAGCATCACTGTGCAGTGAGATTATCGCGAGGATTTTCACTCTTTTTGATTCATAGCATAGACTGTATTCATAGACGATCAAATGCTGATGCGTTCACAGGTAAAACGTAAAAAAAGGCGACTTCATAACATTACTGATTCAAACTCTCTTAGACGACCCCGTCACTTATGTGGTCTTTGTGCGCTGATGCATTTACTGACTATTTGTCTATAGTATGCAGAAGTTTCACTTCTCAGTGAAAGCAGTAAAGGTCGTTTATTGTTCCTGAAGGATGTGTTTGAGTGCTGATTATGTTAAGCTATTTTTTAAAAGCTTGTTTCACATCTTTGTGACTTAGCAGTGAGGTTATTTTCCATTATAGCCTATTAATACTAAAAGGGTATAGAAAAGGTGGCTGTAGTTTATTGTTTACACTCCAAGTAAGTGACAAATCCTTTTTCCAACGTAGGTTCATATATGACCGCTCATGTTTGTGTTACTATCACAATCATCAAGTCGTCTGAAAAAAGTTTTTCACACTTTTAATGACAATGGCACTGCTGATTGTGGCATCTGTGTTAATTTCACCATTCCTTTGAGCATCTTCTTCTGAGAAGCCATGAGTAACACAATTCCCAAATTTATCATGTTCCAAATCATAATGTGTCGCACATTAAAGTGTAATTACCAAGAGGCTGAAAGTAAAATTGTGCACCTTTTCATGTGGCATATAAATGATTGCGGCTTGTCATGTGAGAGGAATTAGATTATTCAATCATGCATCACCTGAAAAAAATGTTCAGGACAACAGGATCAGCCTGCTCATGTCTGAAAATATTTGCATCGCTTATATAGATGTCAAAATGAGTTTCCTTAATGCTATGTGACAGTGTGCGTTCTCTTGTTATTTGTAATCTCTTTTCTCACGCTCTGTTCTGAAGAGCGTGGCCACCAGCCAGGTTAGGTTTCTTAAACATTTCAGAGGCTGAAGTCAGGCTGAGGACAATGACTGACTAGAAAAGCAGGGCATTTGGATTTAAGATTAATCATTACAAGTGATTTCCATGGTCCTTTTTTATGTGTGTATTCAGATTGTGTCTTTAAACCTTGCATAAACACAGGCATACCAGAATATTCACATTTGTTGACGTAATGGGGCGCAACCTGCCAACCTAGGACAATGTTTATTCTACAATATGACACGTAAACCTTATCTAGTTCCATTTACAATAGTTTAGCCCCATTGACATGAGTAGGATTAAAAACAGAGATGGATGCCCAGGCCTGTGGCATTGCACTCTTCTATTGGTAAGATGTCCGTGAGACACAATATAGCAGCACTCAAATATGATAGTGATATTATTGTTACATAAACCCAAAGGACATCTATAAGTGTATTACAGCATAATGTGACCTCACCTGCTGTTGAGATACTGGGTCCTCTTCTTAATGTTGGTATACTGTTTCACTTTACAGTTTGATTTTCATAAAAGTACATGAAGTAAATATGGGTTTAAACGAGATTCAGAAGACATTGCATTACAATTATGATTTAATATACATATAAAGTACGGACAGTAAGTGTTAACATGAGAAATAATTGGCAGTTTAATATTGTGTGTGGAATAATGGGTTACTTTAAGAAGAAAAGGATTAGAGCTGAAAGGTTAGTTGATTAGCTGATGATAATGACTCAGAAACTATTTTGATTGAAAGTAAGTAAGATATTAAGTAATTTTTTCACGCTGAAATGCCAAATATTCTCTGATTCCAGCCTCTCCAATGTGAGGTTTTTCTGCTTTACTCTATTTAATATAATTCTAAATGTAATATATTTTGGACAAAACAACACATTAAGACCATCACCCTAGATAATGACAAATGATTAATCGATTAATAGAGAAAACTATAATCAGATTAATCGACAACGAAAATAACTATTATTTGCACTCCTAATTGGTACCCGAAAGAGAGAAAATTATTTTAGTTTGAGTCTTCCTCTGAGCCACAGAATTAAAACTGGCTTATCTGAGAGGCACCAGCTCATGTAAATGAGTGTCTAGACAAAGTGCAACAGGCCTAACACCACTGTGCAGCCTTTAAGTCATGCACTATTCACAGCTGAGAGTGAAGTCACAGTGGATCAGGTGTGTGCTGATGATACAGTTACCCTTTCCTCCACTGCCGCATCCCGCCTGAAGAGTTGGACACTGTTCTGTGGTTATTGTAGCTTTAGCTATACAGGTGTATTTCAAACACCCAAAGGCTACAAGCAGAGCATCATATGCAGGAGTGACTTTGGACAAAAAAAAAATAAAGGTCGAAAAGTTTCAGTTGTTATGATCGTGATATTGTAGTAATATGACTATTTCCTCCACAGGCATCTGGTAGATGGAGAGAAAATGGAGGTGAACAGAAGAGAGGTGCCTCTGTATGTAAGTGCCTATATGTTTCGCTCCAGTCTGTAAGTGTCTGATGTGTGGATGATCTAGTACAGGGGTCTGTTGTTTGGGTGTGGTTGTGTGAGTACATGAACTCTGAGGAGCAGTCTCCCATATTTAGACCCAGTTCTGTTTTTTTCTCACCAGAAGTAGAGAACTCTAGTCCTCCCCTCCAGCCATCTCTTTGCTCTCTCTGAGTCCTGACTCTCCCTCTGTTCAGTGGTTGACTGGCAAGCCTTGTGTCGCAGGTGAAACCCAAGCCAGGAGGCTTTCAGTCCCTGGGGAAGCCAGGCCTTACACAGCCTGCTCACCAAATGACAAGGCCCTCTGAAAACATGACTTCCTCAGTAAACATGGGAGCCAGAATGAGAGAATATCCCTATTTGTTTCTTGGCTTTTTACTGTAAGGAGTACACCAGTGTATGAACTGAACTGGGAGCGTGTTAGAGTACAAGTTGTGCACGTGTGTTTGACTTGTTGTTTTTTTTGACATAGTAGAAATCTGTTTCACTCTGCAAAGTTCATTTCTTCCATCTGTCTTCCTTTTCCCCTTCAAACCTCCATATCCGCCATCTCTCTCTTTCTGTCTGTCTGTCTCTCTCCCTTATTATCCCATGTGTGTGGAAACCTGGGTGGGCCAGTCACTGAAGCGTTGCCAGATTTCTGGTAAGCGGAGTGTCTGCTTGTTTTGCTGTGTCACCAGTTTCTGAAGGAAGGGAGTGGGGGCTTGCTCCAAAACATTTGCCTGCACTCGCTCACAGAGGCTGATTGAGGACCAGTTTGATGTGAATCATTACAGGCTCTGCCACTTACACATACACCTCTCCATTAAGAGGAAGTGGCGTCTCCACCCTCTAAGGTCACAGCTCAACAGGCGCTGAATAAGATCCAGATTTCAATGCCAGGCTTTGTGTAGGCAAACCACGGCACAGTGCTGTTTTATAAAGGCTATTACTGCAACACCCTTAGTAAAGTGTTATGGTGCAGCTCCACACATACAAGATAGTGGCAGGGCCATACCAGTTACTATTATGCCAGATCAATGGATAAATGGTTGCATTGAATTTCAGGGAGAAAGTGTAGGAGTTTATGTGTTTGAGGAGGTTTCATTGAGCTCCAGTGCAGGACTTCACCTCAAAGTGGTTTTGTTCGTCCAGGTGCGCATGTGTGAGTAAAATCCCCCCCCCCCCCCCCCATTGGTGGTCCCCAGAGGATGAATCCTATTGATTTCTGAAAACTATTGCTGGATCAATATATTTGTCATTTGACACTTTGATCACCTACATTTTCAACCAACACTGTTGTCATGTCAAAATGTTTGTCCAGTACTTTGTTTTATACCTGCAAAGCCACTGCCATTCCGTCAGTTAAGGTTTAAGTTAAGTTAATTACTGAAATGTTAGCATGCTAACACACAAAGAGGGTAAACCTCACTCCTGCTTAACATCAATATGTTGGTAGTTATTGTGAGCGTTTTAGAATGACATTAACATTTTGCCTGAAGCACTGCTGTGCCTGAAAACAGTCTCACATGGTCTAACCATTGTCTTGTTTCTTTATGGCAGCGATTGTCTCAACACAGCACAATGTGATGTTCACAAATGGACAGATACCTATATCCTTGTTGTACCATGTTTGTTCAATTGCTAGCATGGTTTGATGGTGACAGTTATCACAGTGCTTTTTGAGCTAGTGGTATCTCTCTGTTGTGGTTTACAAGTTTTTCCCCCTTTAAGTGCTGTGGTGGTTGTGTTTGCCATGCTTTTCACCTGTCAAACCAATAGAAAACCTTACCCTGCCAGTCATTTGTTGACATTTGATAAGCCAGTCGATCATAAAAGAAAAGAAATTCTGTTTAACTTGAACAAATAGACATGTGCTCTTATTACAGCGTTTTTTTCAAATATAGCAGACATAAAATATCAATATGAGTCTTAAAAATGATTCCTTTCAACTAAACAATTTGCCCAAAATTCAGGTACTTCTGGGTATAATTATGTAACAGTGAGTCTTTCGGAACCCTGTTCTTTGAAGAAGAAAAAAACGTAGCACCCCTCCAGTTTTACTGATAGCATTTTCTGACATGTAGACTATGAGTATCTAATTTGCACAGCAGATTAAATCAGAGGTATGTGTCTCAGCTGAGTATGAGAAAGGCCTACAGCACAGTTCTAGTCCCCCTCAAGAGTCCAATGAGATCCTTGTCCACTGAGTTTCTTGTAGCTCAGATATGCTATGTGTCACTGTGGTGCTGTATGACCTAAAAATATGAAATTATTTATTTTACATGTGTATTTGTTGAGTTAGAAAAAGGGTTTGCTTGATGTATTAGCTTGTTTGAATGCTTATTAAATGTATTGAGCATGTGGAAGTTGGTAAACGTTTCTAAGCATATGCCTTTTTCCGCCCTGTTTGTTTCTGGTCAAAGCTAAACTATTAGGTTATAATGATTTATAGTGACTATAACAGATGTCTTTTCTTGTACTTTGATCTGGGGTTTTCAGCACACTTAAATGCTCAATAGAATGTCTCTTAATGAGACAAAATGTAATTTGTGTTGGATCCTTAACTGAAACTACTATGATGTGAAAATATAAAAGAAAGACAACACACTGTCCCTGCTGACGTCAGGCTGTCTTCTCAGGGAACTGACTGTTATTGGCAGTGTTTTTGTTGTTGCAGTCAGTGACAGTGATCTTGCTCCCCTGACGTCACCTATGTGTTGCACTCAGGAGATCATGGCAAGAGCTCTAAAGCTGATGACTGCTGGTTTCCTGGAGACCACAGGCAGCAGATCTGATGTTGTTTTTCTCCACTGAATTGACAACAACACAGGGAAATTATAAAATCATGTCACTGGTGTAACCTTGGATTTGGTGTTCTAATGAAAACAAATATTAATGCCCACCAGCTTTCATATCTTATTAAGGTCATCTAAACAGCACGATTGCCTTTTAGATTTGCATCAAGCTCCTATTGCATATGTGATAAATCTCCTCATGTTTATGTTCCATAATTAACACACTATGCCTGACCTGAGAACTGCCCTTATGGGAGGCATGAGGTAAAACCACAAGCTGTTGAATATTTCATTGTTATTGGATCAGGTGTTGTCAGGAGGAAAGGCCATAGATCGCATCAGTCTTATCACCAGCCAACCATCCTCCTTCCTCTTCCCCAAGGCACAGGAGATACAGTTAGGATCAAACAAATTCTGTCTGATCAAATTGTACCTGTGTAAACCAATATTATCTGAGGCTGCGGCAGATTGTTGGGACAATTAAGTGGGAACTACACCATCCTTGGAGGAGTGAAAACCAAATCAATACATTAACAATAATTGTTCACATATGTTTCTGTGTCTTTTGTAGACATTTCAATCTAATAGCTGGAGGACAATTTAAAAAAAACACTAAAGACAGACTGGATAAAGCTCCTTGATATTATAATATCAAGGATATAATATATATAATATGATAAATCCGACTTCTCAAGTGACAATAAATAGAAAGAATTGTTATGAGAGTGGATGTGATTTTTGTCCTGAACTTATAAGAAGAAAGTCCTCCCAGTGCAAAAGTTAAATAAAATGTCATGGTTACTTAACGTGAAGGTATTCTGTCACATTTTAATAAAATTAATCATTTTAAAAATATTTGATGCTTTTATCCAAAGCGACTTACAAATGCTATATGTCGCACGGCTCTGGAGCAATTAGTGGTTAACTGTCTTGCTCAGAGACACATTGGTGGATGTGTCACATTGGAAATCAAACCCAGGTCTCCCAGACTAAAGGCATGTGTCTTAGCCACTGCCCCATCACCACCCACAATTAATGGAATTCTTTTTTTTTTTCAAATCTAGCTAGCCTTGCAAGAAATCAGGAAAGCTGCACAAACCACAGGCCGACATCTTATCTTTTTGTTAGGTGGAAAAACAATCAGCGATAACATTAACGGTGATAAGTGTGCACTAAGTAGTACTGCGGCTAACCACTTAGTGCACACAACAAGCTGAGAAACTGCAGCCTGAGTCAGATCTCAGCCTCAAGCTTCAAGAGATTAGGGGCAAAGTAAATAAAAGGAAGCCTTATATCAGTTTGAAGTCTCAGTCATAATTGTAGACTTCATGCTACCCCAATTTTTGATTGGTTAGCCACAGACAAAATGGCCTTTCCTTATGAGGTTGCATACAGAAATCTTTCCCCTGTGGCAATCTCGGCCTTTAGACATTCACAGTCCCCAGGGGATGTACTGATTTTGGTGATCCCCTGATTTTTCATGTGCCACCAGCGGGTGGTAGTTTTTAGAGAAATATCTCAACATCTACCAAATGGTGTGTTATGTAAACATATGCAAAAACCCCCAGATATAAATAGTGGGCTAAAAAATCCTGCATCGATCGGGTAATAACTTTGGTAATGCTTGGAGTTTTTGTCTAGCTCCATCATCATCATCATTGTTTTGTCTTATTGGGTTTATGATCAAACTCCTGCCAAACGAATGACATTCCATCAGCCTCAGCTTTGTTTGTATTTAGTGCTAATTAGCAAATGTAACCATGTTAACATGTAACATATACTTACCATGCTAAACCATATAGTTAACATATTATACCTGTTATACATCTACATGTTAACATTGTCTTTTTGAACATGGTGGCATGCTGACACTAGTATTTAGCTCAAAGCACTGCAGTGCAGCCTCAAAGCCAGTAGCGTGGATGTAACCTCTTAGCCTTTTTTAAAGATAATGATGTTGACCATATTTAATCCATAAACAATGTAAACTATAATTATCAACTGCGTATTGCTTCAGTTCCTTGTATTTACCTACTCTCCCTCTAAATTGTTACACGAATTAAGACTCAAACTCAGTTGTCCATTGAGAAGAAACAAAATGCTGGATCGGGTGGCTTTAGAAGACACGGCTACATTCTTGAAATGTAAAGTAAAGCTGATGTAGGCCCTAAAACCACATTTTAATATGATGGATGCCTTAGCCTTAAGTGTTAATAATACGGCTTAATTAAGGATAGCCTCATTAATCACGAGAAAACCCTAAGCTGAGCACAAGAAAACAGAAGATAAGGATATTGCATCACTATGGAACTCCAAGCATGAGACCCCTCTTGAACTTGAAAGATACACTCTGAGCTAACCCGCTTGTAAAGGTCTGCAAAATAATTAGTTTTCTGTTATTTATATTAATACTGAGGACAAAAACATGTTCATAGTTTTATCAGGGACTAAGAGGCACTACATTCACCCTGTTTACCGAGTGCTTCGATGTCCCTGCATCAGCTGCACAACATATCGGATGTAGTGAATAATGTGAGCGCTAGAGAGAACATGCCTGTGTTTGGGATAGTGTATGTGTTTGTTTACACACGTGAGCCTCTACTCAATAAAATCTTTCTGCTTCTCTTGCCCTCCATGTCTTCAGCAGAGGGTAGACACTCTTTAGAGTTGTGGGTGTCTCTGGGGTGAGTTTAGATGAGGTCAATACAAAACAAGGTCAATGATGTAATAGAAATAATTAATCCCATTATGAAGGTGGATCATGAAGTAGACACTCAGTGGGGTGCAGCTCACTCCTACTGTGAGAAAATGACTGGTGTCTTTCTTTTTTCCCCGCTGCCCCATTTTTGCACCTTAGTACACTGAACTTTGTGAAAGTGAGTGATGATTATGATGATTATGACTATGGATTATGTACTTTGGTTGTGTTGTTAAAGCAATTGAATTGAAGAATTTTCTTTTTCTCTTCTCAGGGACAGGTGGAGGCCCATGTAAGGTTACAAGCCAGTGTTCCTGAAGATGCAGAGTTTTATGTTGTTGTACAAGGCTCTGGACTTACACATGTGACTGCAGCAAAAACAGGAGATGATGGGCTGACCCTTATCTTCACAGTTCCAGGTATGTCCTTAATTCAACCACTGAAAACACTCAGATTTTTTTCTTTGCCTGTCATTGTCTTACTCCCACCTTTCATGATTTTCATCTCCCACAGGCCATGCCCTTGCGGAAGCTGTCTCGGTTACATCCTACTTTTACGCAGAGGACCAACTCAAGCCATGCGAGGGTGAAGCATATCTTGAATACCTCAGGGACGTTGCCCAGGAAGCAGCAGAGTACCTGAGTGCAAACAGGGACCAGCTTGGCCCCCAGAGCTACCTAGAGGTCCTGAAGAGGTTTTCCACGTGGGTGCAGGCAGCTGACGAGGAGCTCTCTGCAGTAGGGTTAGACCTCAGTGAGGAGGATGTGCGGCTCAGACAAAGTTCAGGTGATGAAGCTGGTCTCAGGCACCTGGATGAGAAGATCACACAGGCAATGGCGAACATGGATTACCCTCAGCAATGGCAAAACACTGACAGTAAACCTAGAGAAGGTAATGAAATAGGAACTGAGAGTGTAACTCAAGATCTTGTGGGTTTTTATTTGTCAGAAGTAATTTTATCGCCATTCCAGTCTTTGCCTGTTAGTGATACTTTCTGGCACTTCTAAAGCACAGATGCATCTGCATATTGTGCTGTATAACCAAAACAGAGCAACTTTAAGTGGTGTGAATTTATTTCTGTCTCCTAGAAGAGTTAAGGATTCCCCTCTGCTTAGCAGAGATGTGACTTCCTTTTTAAAACTTTTTTTTGCTGTTGTTACTGTCACTGTACATTCTGAATATGTAGATCATAGTTCATTAAGATCTACTTCCACAAGTGGGTCAGAAAATGACCCATATGATCAAACTTATATCTCTCTAAGTAATGCTGCTAACTTGCTAAGTAGCGTTACACCAAACTAGCGTAATCCAATTATAATTGCAGATTTACTTTTTCAAATAATTGTAATCAACATGGTTGGGGATATCAACTTTTACACACCAAGATAACACATGTATCATATGTAAAATTGTCTTGCTGTGTAAAATTATATGGGTATGCAGTCAGCTGAGATGTGATCGACAGTAAAGCCTGTATAATGAAGAAGAAAGATCCCTATACATTTCCATTGGGAATCTCAAAACCTCAGGTATCTCAAAACCTGGGGAAATTAATTAATAACAAAAACTAGCCTGATACCGCTAGATGTGTTTTTTAACTTGTGTGAAATGACCCTTTGACAATGACAAACAAACACTATTAGTCCTTCAGGATTAATATCACTACAGTGGTGGTGTTTAGTAGGTTTCAAAACCCAACATGAGATCTGACTCAGCAGCCCAGCTCTTTCATCACATGATGTGCAGGACCAGCCAGCCAGCCGCACAGAGGCTGGTATGCTCCAAAGATGGAGCAATTAATGCCATTATTACTCTTCAGTCAGATTAGAGTTGTCTTGCAGACCTCCACGTCTATTAAATCAACTCCCAAAATCCTCCTCTGCACTGCACTTCCACTTTTTTACACCACAGCTGTCAGAGTTGTTTCTGGCCTCAGATTTATTTATTTATTTTAAATTTCATTATTTCAAAGCAGTGAAGTCTCTCCTCATTATTATTAAATAAGGGTGAAAGGTTGATTGCCTCTTACAGTTCCAGACATTTTTTAATTTAGTATAGGAAGAAAAAGGAAATCAGTTCTGAGACAGACTGGATCCCTCAACAAATGTTCAGCCTTCTGCTGAAGGTCACATACAGTCTTAGTATCAGCAGTACAATATATGTACATGGCTTGCAATGTCCATGCAAATAAGGGCGGGGTGCAAATGCAAAGTAGCTGTTGGGCCCTAATGCCTCAGTGCACTATTCACTGATGTATTTGACAATGACATTCTTGTTTGTTGAACTTTGCTTGAAGAGCATGTTCAGTATTCACTCCTCTCAGTCGGTCGAAACTGGGTCACAATTAACGGGGCCATTGTGGAGGTGACGGGGCGTTGCAGTTTGTCCCAGGGCTCCGGCAACAAATTGTAAAGAAACAAGAAAATAAAAGTTGAATTCTTCTGCACATTGTTTATGGGTTCGAAAGATAGCACCATGGCAACCTTCAGCTCTCACCCACACTTACAGGGCAGGCCCAAAGATAAAGTACCTCTGGTCCTCTCTGAAACAGTCTTTCATACTGTGCTTACAAAAGTTTATATGGAGGATTTGTGGTCAGCAGTTGCCATCCTGTGCCGTTGCATGATATTAGCCTAGAGAGTCCATGTTAAAGCGTCATTCAGGGTCACATCGGATTGGGGTTGTTTATATGCCCTGATACGTATTGTTTATACTCCCTTATGCTCCACTGCACACAAGACAAAAGGCAGCAACCGATTTACAGCAGGTGTTGGCACAGTGAAAGATCCAGTTTTTCTAGGTGATAATATTATTGATGTACTGCTGTAGCCTTCATTTTCACTGGTTGCTACTGTCTAACATTACATAGTAAAGTATAGTATTGCCTGACTGATACTGGAGTTTTGAGGCTGATGCTGATAACGATATTTGGGAGTTTCCAATTATGATATTATGATATCGGCCAATAGCAATTTTTTTTCATAAACACATAACATTAACAACAATCTGGATACTGATCCTTCAGATTCATTGTTGTTAAAGGAATTGTGTCTATTTGTCTATGCTCTCTGGCAGAGACTATGTAATGGTGACAGTTTCTTAATTACGTTAAGCTTAGTTCCGCATTTCTGAACTGCAATTGCTTGTTACTTTTTGATAAGCCAATGTATATTGGCCGCAAATAATTAAGATGATCTTGTATTTTAGTTCATTTTTACCTGAAGTACACATGATCTAGATATTGAAACCCAGTATCTTTATTCATTTTAAGCCTTTCATAATTGCTGAAAATCTGATTTATTAAACATAATTGGCTTTAATTTCAGGTAAAGCTGCAGTAAACAGAATGTCTCTGCCTGCATATAATTTCCTCTTCATTATTTGTCTCTCTCTCTCTCTAGCTGCTGAGCTTCAGCCCAAAGAAACTCTTCTACACCTTGCAGTGCGTTTGGGTTTGGTCCATCTCTCCCGTTTTTTAATTCACCAACCGAGAGGTCAAAGGGCACTGACCTTACCCAATCAGGAGGGAGACACACCCCTCCAGCTGGCTCAGAAGGACGGACAGCATGCCATGTTCAGGATGCTGGCAGCGTAAGGCCATGATTTAATCTGTTTGTCCAATTAGTACAAAAAAGTACCAAAAAAAAAGAATGTGTTATCTTTAGATGCTTCCAGGAGCCTTTTCAAATGGAATTTGAGTTTAAAGGCTTTCTTGAACCTTTTTTTAATGGCAAGGGAAGGTCATGCAATTAGTCCACGACCACGTCTTTATAAGACAATAAATGCACACACTATTTTCCATTGGTAAAATAACACACATACTACAAAATCCCAAGACTTACAGCTAAAACCACATTTACTTTTTTCGACAACTACATAAATCTACTCAAGCAACAAAGAAAATAGATTGCAAAACAGAGTTGCTTCAGGTGTGATAAGAGGTAGATAACAGGAACTGGATGTAGAATTGTTTAATAATAATGGAAATGTACACAAAATGCATCATTTAGAAACCTGAAATGTGTTTAATATATGATACAGTAAGTCTTGCTCAACATTTTCACATGCATTGAAGTAGTACAGCTAAAGCTTGCGAACTTGTCAGTGGAGAGAAAGCATACAAATGATATAACAATGAGAACGCATGTTGACAAATGAAGACTTATGATAAGGCTGATTCATAGGGGAGGCTCCCGTCTATTCTCATTAAATTCACATTATGCTAACTTCACTTCCTGTAATATTTATTCTAATTGTTGGCGCTTTTGCTTCTTTCTCCTCTTCAGCCCTCCAGGTCCTGTAGTGGGCCCTGTTCCTGGTGTGTGGTGCGTGTGGTCTGACAAATCCTGCATGTTGAGGTTTTGTCCCGGGACAGACTCCATGACCCTGACTGTGCGGCAAACACCCGGCAGCTGCTCTCAGGATGACATCATGATCTACCGAGACAGACTGGGAGACCAAAGCATCCTCAAACTGGTGAGAGCAAACCACTAGGAAAATATTTATTTAAAAGCCTTATTGTAATCACATCTACTACATAATGTATAAAAATAAATACAAAATATTCCCATGCAGCTCTGTGCTTGATGTAATGTGTCGTTGCTGTCAAGATAAGGCCATTTGCACAGGTTTTGTTGAGGCTTGTGTTAACAGTAAGTCCTTGACTCTCACACCCACTAACTTAGTAATCAGACATTTTGATAAGAGTTGAGCAAGTAACGGTAAACAAAACAGCAGCTGGTAAATCGGAGGGCGGGATGGGTTAACATGAAAAGGAGACAGGTCACATGTAGTGAAGTGAGTAGCTTGTGCAGAATGAAATGAGTCACTCTGTAGGGTTTTGCTTTTATAGCTTTTTTTTAGTCAGTAATTATGACAGTATGAACGTACAATATCATAATCTTTAGCTTATACCTGCTGTTTGTTATTTACAGTGTGACTGTGATAACATAAGAGTTGTTTGTGTTCCAGATCAATGAGCTCAAAGCTGATAGTGAAGTAGACATGAGAGGCAAAGAGGAATTACCTCCGATCGATGAAGGTAAGGTGCCTTATTAAATTGAACTCTTGAAATTATTTGCTATTATCTGATAATGAGGTTTGTTATCTGTGACTCAAAGATGTATCTCAAGATGCTTTTTACCATGATCCACCTGCATGAGGAAGTTGTTATTTATAGAGTAGATTTATAGATTTTAGAATAAAAAGTACAAGTACTTGAAACTCAATTACACTAATTGAAGGTACGTACTTGTGATCAGTTGCAATCAAGCGTCTGTTTAAGCGTGTGTCTCCTACATGAGACACGGGTGAGCTCAATCCAGACATGTGCATGTTACCTGTGTTCTCTTTCATTATCCACATGTTAGCTGTCACATGGATGTACCAGCTGTGCAACATGAGCTGCAAAAAACAAAAGTCTCACACAGAGTGAGACACACACACAGAGTGACAAAAGCGCATAAAGACTCACAATTGTAGTTGTGCTGATATTTTACTCGATTAGTTGATTGACAGAAAACTAACTAACTAATAACTATTTAGATAAGCAATTGGTCTTTCATCAATTTAAGAATGAGCTTCTCAATGCTGATGTTTGCTGTTTTATGTTACAGTAAATGTATTTGGATGTTAGACTGTTGTTTTTCAGCCAAACAAACAGTTTGAAATGAATTTTTGTACACCAGAGACAAAATAATATTTTGCAACAATAATGATGAACAGATTACTCTATAATAAAAATAATCATTAGTCGCAGCCTTAGTATTGCCATCATCTTGGTCTGTGCATGCACCAACAGCTCTTATTTGCTGTGTGTGTGTGTGTGTGTGTGTGTGTGTGGCGGTATGCGAGTGCAGACGCTTTACTGAAGAGCGGTGGAAAGCGAACCACCACACATTCACTTGAACAAACAGCCGTGTGGTCAGACATCCATCACTTACAACCTAAAGAGACTAAGAAAACACCTCCAGCAGGCACCATAAAAGGCACACTCTCCTTTACACATGTGTTTGTTCTTCCTCAGAGTACAGAGAAAACTTAGGGGGTGGATTGTTTTATTTCCAGGGGGTGACATGCTCAGGCTGGCATGCAACCACAGAGAGAAAGAAAGAGATCCTTGCAGATTGTCAGTGCTACCGGTACCTGCTTTATTTTTCTTTTTGTGTCTCTCTGTCATGCACGCTCACACGCACACATTTGGAAGCTCTCACTTAACCTGTTGCCACTGTTTTTTGGTAACCATAGAGATGGCAGACAGCAGAATCGACTCATAAAGGGAAGCAGGAAGTGTACCTCAGTATTGACCTTAACCCTGTTCCAACTTCAGCAGCCGTCAATTAATCGTCTTGAAATAACAACCTCACAGTAGGGAGTATGTGCTCTTCCTCTGGACCTGCTGCTTTGTACGAGCACAACATCTCTTTTGGCCAGTTTTCCATTCCTGGATAGTGGAGTCATATCCAGAGGACCTGACTCTTTGGAGGAGGAGGCGGAGAGTTAGTGTGGCACGCATCAACTTCTGGTTAAATATTTTTATTTTGTACAGGGATTAGAAAGGAGCTCCGAGTGGAAGAGCAGACGCTGGTGGACAATGTAAGTATACATACATCTATCTAGGCGAGTCTGTGGCGCAGTGTGTCATAAATGTTTATAGATTTGCCTCTGAAGTTCCTCGCTGGTTCTAGCATGCAACTGTGCATATGTCTGTGTTGTTTTAAAGTAAACCATAATTGAATTTTTCATGCTTCTTCTGTGTTTTTTAAGGTTTTTGAAGAACAGCTTGTTCTGTCTTTGGATGACGACGATGATGTAGAAGAGTACACATCCTTATTATCCGGTAATTCTTCTCTTTTCTTCTTTAGGCTCTGCAAACACAATAGCAACTCATTCAGACCAAAATACTGTTTCCATTTTAATATTATGGCAATAATACTTTGGCATCTGGCTTTCATTGTTGGATAGTAGAGTCATATCTAGAGGACCTGATGTTGTGCTGCCAATGCGACTCTTTTTAGGAGAATATGTTTATTCTGCACAGGCATTAGCAAGGAGCTCCATGTGGCTTAAATGATGAATGGGTAATTCATAAAAAAACACCACAACATATTTGTGGCTGTACTGAACAGCAGGGTGTGGGAACAATGCATAATATGCTGGTTGAGAAGCCCTGACTGAAATGCTTTCTCTCGTGGTGCTGGCACAATATGCAGAGCTCTGTTTTGAATCACATCATAGGAAATCAATACACTTACTGCTTCACAGACACAGACAGGGATTCACTTCTGTCTGAGGTTGATGAGCTGTTTTCTTTGATTAAGCGGATGTATTATCCTCCAGCAGTCTGTCTTTACGTGGTACAGGTTGGGTCTTTACTTGTTGGCCTCTGCAATGACTGAGTCTGAGAGTCCAGGAATCTGCCCTGTCACTGGGACAAAGACAGGAATGAGGTCAGGCTTGTCCCACTCAAACTCTGTCTGAGCTGGGAGATGGCCTCCTCTGGCCTGCCGCCCTGCCATCCCCTCCACCGACTCCCCTGGATCGGACAGTGGGGCTCTGTACATGAACTCAGAAAGGGGATGTTAACAAGCTCAAATGTCGCAGGTTTATAAAAGCTGACATTTTAGGTGAGCCACATGCGTTAACCTTGAATTCTCTTTAACCACACGCGTGCGCACATGATTGTATAAGCTCAGCTAGTGCAAACACTCTCTGGCTAGTAAAAACTTTGAATGTTTCAGGTGTTGCCACGGTTACTGTGAATGCTAATTTCCTGTGTGTTGTCGTGGAAGAATGAAGAGTTTGTTGAAAACTCAAGAGAGACTCTAGTACTGTGGAATGGAGCCTATAAACTTTGTGACCATAAACTGAAGTGTGTGTGTGTGTGTGTGTGTGTGTGATAATGTGTCTCCGTGAAGTAGCGATGAATGACTACACAGGAGCATTGATCCCAATTCTGTCCTCTTTAAGCAGATTGCAGATTCTTCTGTATTGCTCAAGTTGTCAAACTCACTGTTGAGCTGAATATTTTAGTTGTGATGAGAGCGTCTCGAGGCCGCTGTGGTATAAAGTTGTCATCCAGAGTTATTGTTTTTTCCAGATCTGTCGAAATGATCGTAAAGGTTTCTCCGGTTTCACTGACATAACTCAGCAGTATCAGTTATTGTTGGAGCTAGCCGGTGTGACAATTAGTCTACCAGCTGAGACTGGTGCTGCTTCAGTCTGTCACCATACTTTAAATTTAATAGAGTGGAGATTTTTGTATCGGTGCATACATGCTGACAGTTTAACTTGAGCAAATAAAAATGAAAGCAGCCTGAAAAATATATAGAGAAAACTAGATAAATACAATGAATGGATATAAGAAATCTGCCTTGTATGTTTGAGCGCCATGCTAATGTCTTCACTGTGTGAGAGCAGCAGAGAGGAAATGCCTCTGTGATGCCCAGGATTTCCCTTACATTAGTGCATGCATGGCTGGCCCAGACATCAAAGTCTGGGTGGAAAGTGCACAGAGAGCTCTGAAAATGGCTGCTCATCAAGAGAGGTAATTTTCCACATTGTTAGAAATACCATCCTCCACCCTTGTTGATATGCAATCATGTCAGCACTGGTACATACAGTATAACTGTACATACGGTATTCTCACTGTACTTTTTACACTTGACAGCTATAGCTACTAGTTATTTTACAGATTAAGATTTTATATATAAACCATATAATCATCTATGATGCATTTTTATGGATTAAAACATCCAATAGTATGTAAAGGAGTTGAAATTAGCACCAACTTGACTAGCTACAACATATACAATAGTGCACAATAATACGCTGCTTGCGCTATACGCTATGCATAAGAAATAATCAATTATATGTGAAATTAATTAATACTTTTTCTGTCACTCCATATCAATATATATTTTGTCAGCTTTCCCATGTTAAAAAAGTAAATACATCTAAGTATCTACAGGCTTGCTATTAATTCTGAGAGGCTGTACTTTATTGCAATGGTGCTTTGTTTTCTTTCAGGTGATGCACGGAGTATAATACATGAGATGACATTGAATTACATAACTTGCTAACACGCAATAGATGTACCTTGTGTTCAGAGTGCATGGAGTAATTAAAACTCACCTGGAGGAAAACATGAACGCTTTTATTTTTATTTATTTTAATCCTATTTAGAACAAAGGGGTAGTGGTGCATTTCTGCCTCTTGTGGCTGACATGAGTATTACAACAACAAACACTCTGAAATATGATCCTGACAATATAAATGTTTTTCATCTGCCCAGACTGTTTTTTTTCACCTGGCAAAAACTTTTTTCCACCTGTTTTTTAAGTCATAAACAATTTAGATCAAATTTAGGAAATAGATCACCAGAATTCTTTTTTCTCACTTGCCTCTCAGGGGCTTCTGTAGGTTGTGCATATTGTTAAGAAAATAAAAGAGAGCGTGACTCAACACAAGTCAATACTTTTTTCAATAGACATGCTGCTTTTAAGGTTGATATGTGGAGGTTTATATGAAAACAAACCTTTAAAGGTCAAACAGTAGGTATGCAGTATCTCATCACATTTTCCTTTTTATACTCTAAGCCTTGACATTTAAGTGATGAAAGATCAATGAATTATGGCACAATGAAATTACTAGAAGGAAAACAGAAGGCTTAGCTGAAGTCAAATTGAAAACATATAGACCTTTGGTGATTTATTTTTTCTGTTTTCTGGCATATTTGCTGGAGGTTGTCTAGTTTAATGGTTGTTGGTTGTATTTTGTTATCTGGTGAAAGAGAAATATGTTTTCTGGTTAAGATATCTGGCTGTCTCACACTATTCTGAGAGCTGCTCTCTGTATTCAACCAGACAATTAACCACCGTATCTGGCTGATGTTGGGATGAAAGATGGTAATGAAAAGTGGCATCTCACCGTGCTCTGTGACAGTAAATCATTCAGCGGAATAAAAACAAATTCCTCGTAGACATCTTGCACACTACTGTACTGTAGAGTAGTTGATCTTAACTGGAAAATGAAGAAGCTGCCTGTTTGAATGTTTCTAAACTATACTGAAGCTATCCTGAGATTCTACTGTATGTTTATCACAGTGAATGGGCATCCCATGCAGGCCAGTGGAGACCAGATCCAGTTCACACAGTGTGCTACAGACCCTCTGCTCTCCATGATCAACAGCAGCGATCAGACCACCACACAGCCGACACAGGTTATGCATCAACCTCTCACTTTAAACACAGATTTATCATTTAGTCTTTTCTGTTTTGGTACTTTTTTAAAAATGTATTGCTTCTTTATTTTGCACCTTTTTCTCCTTTCTTGTGTTTTTACTTTAGCCGGAAGATGACAACATCAAGTATAGTACAAGTAAAGTCAGTGGTGTGACCAGGGACAGCACAGGAACGGACAGCGGGTTATGGGACACTGTGGACTCAGAAGATCTTCTGCTAGCTACTGACACTCCTCCACCCTATTCAGAAGATTTCTACTCTGTACCCTGCTCTCCCCCACTCTCACCTGCTGACCAAGCCCTGGTCAGGCTGAACGATCCCGCCTCCTCTGAGCCAACCAATCAGACAGAAAGTCTGCCCATGGACACCTGCGATCTCAGGTATTAAAAATTGTGGAAGGTTTTATCCAATCAGAAGGCAGTCATTTCCGAGTGTCTGTGTGTCTCTTTTAACTGGTCCTTTGTTGTTCCAGTCCCAGTCTAGTGGCTCTGGAAGTGGACAGTGAAGAGGATGGCACTGAGTCAAAGTCTCCACTTTCCCCACTCCTGTCAGATGTTGAGAAAAGTGAAGATAAAAGGGAAACCTTTTATCCCTCCCCTGACCTTACTTGCACTCGCAGCCAGTCTCCCTCCTCATGTGAACCCACCATAAAAGTAAAATACCATCTCAGGGTCTATAACACTTTCATCAAATATTTCCACTTCTCCCTATATCACGAGAAGTATTGTTTGAAGTTTGTATGTTTTTGTTTTTAATCATTCTTTCACTTGTCTAGGAATCGGGCAACCAGGGGATTCGACTCCGTTCGTATTCATACTCTTCCTCCAAAATCAGTTTGCGTCCTGCTTGTTTTGCCCGGTACAACCACACTTCAGATATCAACCCTGGTCAGTAAAAACTGGGACTGTTTACTGCTTCATATAGTTTGATATTTATTCTAACACATAACTAACAATGTTTCCATAAACTAACTTCACTTGTTTGGTTTGTCACTAATGGGGCAGTCTCACAAAATATCAGTTGGTGTAAGAGAGACTTTCAACTGTAGCCTCACTACTAATAAAAAGTACAGTCAACTCCCAATAAATAAATGCGCTTAGCACTTAATATTCATCATTTTGGGAAATACTCCTATTCACTTTTTTGCCACGATGAGAAGATCAATACCACTATCTTGTCTGTCCGTTAAATTAGCTTAGACTGGAAATGGGGGAAACTGCAAGCCTGGCTCTGTCCAGAGGCCAAGTAGGCCGGCCCTGAAAAACAAAACGGAAAGACATGAGAGTGGTATGGATCTTGGTCTTAAACTGTAAGAAAGAGAAATATGCATATTTCCCAACATGTTGAAATATTCCTTAAACAGTTAGAAAAGGATTCTAGCTTTGCTTTTTGTTTTTATATTCACAATGAACCTACATCATTGCATGAAATACTGATTTAATAGCTGTCAGTCCGGAGTTGACTGTGCATGGTGATAGTTTGCACGCCCTGTAGTTGATGTGTGAGCAGCCCTCTATCCACTGTGTCCTGTAGATGCCGTGCTCCACAGTGTCAGCCACAGCCGATCTCTCCTTCAGGCCCTCTCTCTGTCTAAATCTCTGTCTCTGCTCCACCCTGGTAGTAAGTACTGGACACCTGCAGCCGCCACACTGTGCTAAGGCCCAGAAAATCCAGCACGCCGCTGTCAGTATCAGTGCTTGTGTGTGCGCGGCCGGGAGTCAAGGTTATTATTGTAAAGTGAGTCACCTGCTAATAATGAAAGTTTTAAACTATCTGACTTGATTAACACAATGGATCACATTCACGACTAATCCACAGAGAATTAAAACCTGACGTAGCAGTGAACCCTTATTAGATATTTAGGCTGTTTTAGCTCGTTGTTTTGGTTTTAGATCAACCTAACTTTAATGTGGTTGGTTCATTCTCACCGCTTCCATCAGCGTCATCTCCAGACGTTTCACCAACATTTCACCGAGCTCCAGTAAACTCACCGTATGCTATCTGCCCAGCACTGAACAGCAGACACACAAAGTTAGCAGCAAGCTGGAGAACAGCATCAGAGCTTTTCTTCAAACTTGAAGACCAAAACAGAGCTAAAATGAGAGTGAATATTGGACTTATATTCATTAAGTGTCCAGAAACATGCTAATGTTGCTCTGTGACTGATGAATGTTTAAATAAGCAACTGTTGGCTAGCAGGCTAACCATTTAAACTTAAAAGGTGAAATGTCACTGTTGTACCTAATAAATCTGTGCATTTAAACATGGTACAGTACATGTTTCTGTTAGGTACCATAACAGAAACATGATTCTGAAGGGCTTTGTTTAATCTTGTGTGTGGAGAGAGCAGTTTTTTCTATTGTGAATGCCAATTGCTTTCCAAATGTGGAGGGCATTTATCCAACACTTTTTAAAAACACAAATGATGTTCCCTGCTGCATTAAATGAAAATTTGACTCCAACTGCTATTTCTCCCCAAATCATCTTAAATGTAAAATCTGTGAATAGAGAAATAGAGAAAAAAGTAAAAGAGGGAACTGAAACAATAATCAAAACTAAATTTGAGTCATGAAACTGTAATAACCTTGGCGTGTGTTTGCATGTGTGTATGTGCATGGCCTTCCTAATCATGACACAGCCTTATTATGATCAGAATGGCTGCGGGAGTGGAAGTGAGAGTCGTGAAGTAACTCCGAGGGGTCAGCACTTTGTGTGTCTGTGCTACAGCTTTCATATATATTGTTGTAAGAATTTGGCAAACAGCTCTTTGGCATGAAAATGAAACCTGACAAGCTTTGTCGTATATTCACTCTGACACAGTCTGAAGAATGAAGCTTCCTGATTTTGTTTCCCAGTTTGATTTAATGTTTTTTGTTCTGCTCCCACAGTATTGAACAACTTCTCTTCATTCTTTATGTTCACAGAGCAAAGAGCCTCCAGTATATCAGAGCAGTCACATGAAAAAAGGTATTTATGTCTTTTATTTTACTTAAGTCTTGTTTGGATTACATTGTATTGCAGATGCTTTTTCTGTCTTTTTCTGTCCTAATACTGAATGACTCAGCCTTTCACATAGGCCTCACTCATTGCAGATTTTGCTCTTAATTAAAATGCCAGCACTTTCAATCAAATATGTAATCCCCGTTTCCAGGAGCAACATATGTGGGTAACCATGACGACCAGGTTACATGGAGACAGCGGGCGCTCTCTGAAGTTTGGGTCCATCTTTTATGATGCTCTTTTGTCCTTATAAAGCAGGACTGGATTTACGTGCGTGGCTGGTGTTTTGATCCTTTCTGCTTTTTTCTAGTGACAACAGAGGCAATGACGTACAGATATCATTGTGACCCTGAGCTACTTCTAGCCCTGTTTTTCTAAAGCACAATGCTTTTGCTCTGTTTTTCATCTGTGGTTTACAGTGTCATCTTGCCTTGTGTAGCTTGTTTTCAGATATAGCCAGCTGCGTCATGGATACATGTCTCAACCTATAATGAATGTACTCAGTATTATAATGCACAAGCACATTATGGTTCATGACTTGCAAGACTGAGTGTAGTAAGATCTAGTGTAAAATAATGACAAAAAGTGACAGTGCTGCTTTATATTGTCTCTCGCTGCTCTAGGAAGAGTGGCACTGTTTAAAAAAAGGACATAATTTCCTCTTCCTGTTCCACTCTATGCCTACTTTCACTGCTGTCCCATTAGGAATGATGCCATATGATATTTCCTCTGCTACTTCATATAAAAAAAAAACAAATTTAATAATTGCTACAATTCAGTAACAATCCCAAGTGGAAGATACCAGATATACTCAGCGATATAATATAGAGTAAAAGAGCAAAAAGCATTATTTCTTATTAAATTGACTAAACTGAGCTTGTTGTGCCTGTTTGGCTGTGTCTGACGTGAACAACCAGATTTGCATCTTTAATATGTCACTGCAGCATATCGCTTTGGCCTTTGTGGCTTAAAACGTCAGTATTTGTCGTCTGTGCGCTGTTCTTTACAGGGAAATTAGGTTCCGTAAGCGAGCCCAGTCCGCTGATGATGAGGGCAGCATGGAGCTGGCAGAGTCCCTCCAACATCTTACCCTGTCCGAGTTCCTCAAAGAGTATGTGGGTCGACCCCTGTTTGACTATTCAAGCATCCTTAATTGTCCAGTTCAAACAAACTAACCCTAACCAAAACTTATAGCACATTTACCCCCTGACAACGAACCACAACCTCCACTCCTCCTTGTTTCCGATAATCTGCTGGTCTCCTCTCCTCATTTCCTCTTCTCTGCTGGTTTCCTCTCCCTGTCCTCACCTCTTCTCCCCTTACTCCCCGTCTCATTTAGTTTCCTTGTATCCTCACTTCATTTCCTCTTCTTTGCTGGTTTCCTCTTCTCTCCCCTCCTCATCTCCTCTCTTCTTGTCTTCTCTCATTCTCTCCTATCCTAGTCTCCTCTCCTCTAACAGCAGAACAATAGTTATTATTGTCTTTTGCATAACAATATTAACCAAAAATCTGTCATTGTCATTTGGCATGTAACTAGCCTCTAACAATTCTACTAATTTTACAGTAATTTACTTCCACAGCACAGGGTTGCAGAGAATGAACACACTTTTTCACTAACCAAGGATTTTTTTGTTATCAGAATATCATTTCTGATGCTTTCCCTAACATTTATTTTACCAGAAATTATTTGCTGCGCGATGTCAGATGAAATTATAATTTTGGATGAACTGTCATTCAACTACCAGTTATATGCTTGTGTACTTTAAAGCTAGGATAGTCAATTTATTTCAGAAGCATTTTTTCTTTATTGAAATTTTACATCTTCACAATCTTTACATCCAAACAGCATTCAATAAATCAAATGCACTGACACAAATATAAAAAAAAAAAATCCATTAACTGAGGACTGTAATAAGCACAGACAATCATTTCATTCAGTCTGAATGAAATGATTGGGTGGCCTAACTGCCTGTCTACCTACCTATCAACGTACACTCTGCCCATACACTCTCTGTGCATGAAAATGTGTGGGAGTGGCTTTGGAGGGAGGCATGAAGGGAGGGGGTTGGATCTTTTTTGGTTACTTTCAAAAAGTAGCTGTTGCTTGCTAGTTTTTCCAGCCTTACATACCTACCTTTGAGCATAGAATATTATACAGCTGTACAATTCATACTCATATGGACCTTCTGCCTGCACCTAAAGAAGCCCATCGTACTTGCTCTTGTTGTCCTGTAAACTCAGCAAGAAGAAAATCCGGCTAATACATGTCTGCAAACCAGCAGTAAATTCTTGTGTTGTAAGTTATGGAACACAAAGCAAAGGTAACAAATTGCACTGATATCATTTGAATTTTTCTTCAGAATTGAAGAGGAGGAGTTGGACAAGTACAATATCCCAACAAAGGTGGAGTCAGAGAAGTACAAAGTCATTCGTACCTTCAGTTTTCTCAAGAGCAGGATGTCCAGTACACGCAACAAGACCAAGGTAAACCAAGACCACAAAAACTCCACGCCTCTGCTGTTACACACATCAAACACAAAATCTAAATTTAAAAGCTACAATATAAGGATTAACTAAACAAAATTTAAACTTGCTCTTGCTGTACATTCAAGCCAGCTTTACATGCCAAACCACACTCTGCATAATTTGATAGCTTAAAAACACAAGTCACGTTCCCTTTGAAGTGTTTGCTCTACACGTGCCAGTGTGTATGTACTGGATTACATTTTACTATTTATCCTCACAAAAGTATTTATGGTATAGAATATTATAATACTTTTGTAAATGCCAATATCCCAGGTTTGGACTCAGGTAAGGAATATGCGAGTCTTTATGTTCTCTCAGAGACACAACCAGGAAAACGTTTCTGGGAATAACTCAAGGTCAGGTTGACAGACCAAACATGGTGACCAGCCTCCTTCCTTTTTTCTTTAATGATTAATCCTTTGTTGAGTCAGCACAGAGGCTGGATGCCCTCCCCAACCCACATGTGTTGTTTTGCTATGCTCCATTTCCTTGTCAGTGGACTTTTTACAGATTGAAAAAATGCAAGGATTCCTTCCAGGCTCATATGTCTACTTACACGTGGGAGAGTTTACTCTGTAAATAAAAACCTGACAAGGATCTTCACCCTGGTGTATAGAAATAGGAATTAAGGCCTGCTTTGCTCCAAGTTCTTAGCTGGTAGTTGTGAGTCGCGTTATCTCTCTGTCTATTTGGCTTCTTTGTTTACGCTTATGTCTCTGACATGGTTTTCCAAGGGGAAGGGGAAGGACAGAGAGGCCAAGGATAGGCAGCTGAATGGACATCGGCTTAACACAGGCTCCTGTTTAGGCCCCACCGTGTGTGTAGTGTGTGAAAAACCAGCATCTGGAAAAGACCTTTTTGCATTGCTCCAGTAAGTAATTGTGTAATTTCAAGAAGCTTATATTTATATATTTTACTAAAAAAACATGTACATAAACTTAAAGCTAAGTAAGCCAATGTTGGAGAAACTAGCTAGAGATAGTTTAATTTTGAAAGGATCCACCTGAAAACTCCCACCCCCTCCCTTCAGGCGATGAGCGCACAGACAGAGTGTGTGCAGGTTGGCAGGTAGGTAGAGAGATAGGTAGACCAGTCAATCATTTTATTCCGAATGAACTGATTGGCCGTGCTTATTACAGTCCTGTAACAGCCATAGATGCTGATTTGTGTGTGTGTGTGTGTGTGTGTGTGTCAGAGCATTTGAATTATTGATTGCTTTCAGGATGTAAAGATAATTTCAACAAATGTAGCAAAAAAAAGAAAATCTTTCTGAAATAAATTGCCAGCTTTAAAAATATCTTTCTTTCCCAGGTTGCACTGCTATTGTCCATAAGGGCTGTAAGGAGTCTCTCCCCCCATGTTTGAAGGTGTGTATTGTGTTAAAATATTAGGATAAAAAGCGGTTTTGAACTACTTATTCTTCTTGAGCATGTCCTTGTGTCAATTGTTTATATGCTGTAACCAGCATCTCTCATTTGTATTACTTAGAAACTTCAGGATAAGTACGCAGTTACCATGGTGAAGAATAGAACAGCCTCCCTGCCACAGAGTGAGTTTACAACACAAGGGTCAACGGTTACCAGCAATTTAGGCTATCAAGATCTCTTAAACATGTTGTCTTGAATGTTTCAGTGTGGTTGCAATTGGGATGATTATAGTTCTGTTTGCTTCTCCCACAGATTTCACAGTGAGAGACAGTCCTCCTCAGTGTGTGATCCCCACCTCTACCTCTCTACCTGTCATGGCGCCTAAGGAGAGGAAAGACACTACGACCCAGTCGTGCCCCCTCTCTGGGAGTTTTCCAAACAGTGACAGGTCATAAAGCTCCCAGACTTTATAAATTACAATATATGATGTGGGGTTATTGGTAAATATTTGGGGGTACTAATGGTTGTCCATGTTCTTCTCTGTGTAACAGTCGGCTCAGTGAGAGTTCAGAGACAGAGTCTGATGCCTGGAAGGTGACCAGCCGATCAGAAGAGCTCCTGCCGACTCCATTGTCCTCCACCTCCGCTGACTCATCCTTCGGAGAAGGTACGACATGAATAAGGCTCATTGTTATTAATTTTTACAGATTCCCAAAGAAAAATACCAAAAAAGGAGCAGATCTGTGTCCAATTTTTACATTTATCATGTACCCAGATGTTGTTTTTCCTTCTTTGAGAAGATGCTCACCATTGTAGTTCCTTTTAGGTCCTTTTACAATCCCCACAACTGATGGGGAGAAAATTTAAATAAGCTGCCAACTAAGTACTAAATACTGTGAGTTACAAAACAGGAAATGCTTGAAAAACAGATTGGCGTCTCTTAAAATACCATTTTATTAGCCCCAGGGCTTAAGAAGTATATTGAGATGGTTGAAAGTTAAGAACCCTGTCTCTGCTCAGTAAGTGTTATAAATACTGATTAATGGAACTGAATCGTGGCAGTTTGGATTAAAAGTGATTTTGTACCTCTTTCTCGACATAGACTGTGTGGACACATATATCAACAGTGACATGTCGGCTGATGCTGTGGATTACGAGGCTGAGTCGTGGAGTCTGACAGTAGAGCACAAGTTCTGCAAGAAGCAGGACAAACGAGCTGTCAAGAGGCAGGATGTTATTTATGGTAAGCAGATGTCAGAGTTACGAAAGAAGACCACTGGAATTTGTCATCTGTGTCACCAGTGTCAGTATTTCATATATAAAATGACTGTAACAACATGTAATTGTTTCATAATTGTAAAATTGCTACGATTGAGTACCAGACTAAGCTTTGTGGCGTGATATAATCCAAGGTTTTATTTGATGCACACACTGAGTGACCACATGTTGAACCTCCGATGCAGAGCTGATGCAGACTGAGCTTCACCACCTACAGACACTACACATCATGGCAGAGGTTTTTCGGCGAGGGATGAAGGAGGAAGTGCAGCTAGATACAGAAGCGGTGGAGCGGGTCTTCCCCTGTCTGGACCAGCTGCTTCTCTTCCACCATGCGTTCTTTGCTGCCATGAAGGAGCGACGACAGAGCTCAGCCCAGCCCCATGGACACAGGAACTACCTCATCCAGCGAATAGGGGACGTCTTGCTCCAACAGGTTAGCTGGTCTCCTGGGACTACCTTTCTCCTAAGTTCAATAGATGGAAACCAGTGAGGATATTCATCACTGGGTGTGTGTATTTTTCTGCAGTTTTCAGATGAGAACAAAGAGAAAATGAAACAGGTATATGGAGATTTCTGTAGTCGTCACAATGAAGCGGTCAGCTTTTTCAAAGAACTCCAGCAGCATAACAAGAGATTTCAGATCTTCATTAAGGTACTTAACCTTCCCAGAGCATCTTTTTTCCCTTCTTTTTTTTTTTTTTTTACAAATGTATCTTTCTTTCTATCAGTTTCAAAATAAAAGCATCTCTACATTCCTGCCGAGAGAGATGTAGCATAACTCTTGATCTGTCTTTTTGAAGCAACAAGGTAATAATTCTTTGGTGAGACGGAGGGAGATCCCAGAGTGCATCTTGCTGGTAACCCAAAGGATTACAAAGTACCCAGTGCTGCTGGAGAGGATCCTACAATATACTCAAGGTCAGTCATCTACTGCCCTCTGCTGGATACATGGTCCTATGGGCCACAAAGCTGTTGTTGACACAAAGTGCTTGTCAGTAACAGCATGATGTACATTATTTCAGTTGAAAATATACACTAAGTAGAACAAAATATCTCTTTCAGTCTTCATGTATTTCTCCTTCCTGATCCCTCAGAGGAAACAGAGGAGCATGCGGACATCTCGCAAGCACTGATTCAGATTCGAGAGGTGATAGCAGCCGTGGACCTGAGTGTCAGTGAATATGAGCGGCATCAGAGGTTACAGGAAGTGTGGAATCGCATGGAGAATCGCAGCACAGCCAAACTGAAGAACGGCTACACCTTCCGCAAGCAGGACATGATGGGGCCGGGACAAACGCTCAAACACCAAGGCCTGCTTCTGTGGAAGACTGCTACTGGTCGACTTAAAGGTGAGACAACATAAACTTAGTTGTTCAATTAATATGTTATTAAAGCATCCTTTTAATATTCTTTCCTGCTTATCCTCACTTCCATAGATGTCCTGGCACTGCTTCTAATAGATACACTCATCTTCCTGCAAGAAAAAGACCAGAAGTATACATTTGCCACTGTGGTACGCACACATTGGTTATGTCGGATTGATCTACCAGATCAAAATTGTGTCTCTGTCATGATGCTACACCCTATTACCTGCTCTGTTTTATCTTGGGCCACTATAACATCATGTAATATGTTATTCCGCTGCACTTTTAATGTGCTTCAGGATCAGAAGCCTCCAGTCGTCGCACTGCAGAAGTTAATCGTGCGAGAAGTAGCCAATGAAGAGAGAGGGATGTTTTTGATCAGCGCATCGACCGCCGGGCCAGAAATGTACGAGGTCCACACGTCATCCAAAGAGGAGAGAAACACCTGGATGAGGCTCATTAGAGAGGCTGTAGAGAGGTATGTAAGTCTGTGTAAACTACATATTCAGATATCACTATTTGTGAGTCTAACCATCAGTTGCTGTTTTCTCTGCTCAGCTGTCCGGAAGAAGAAGAGGAATACACAAGTGAATCTGAAGAGGAGAAGCGAGCTGCTGAGGCTCGTACTCAGAAGATTCAAAAGTTCCAAGGTATTTGGAAGTCTTGATTATTTTTCTAACCCAGAGTTAACATCTCAACACATCTTGATCTGTGAACCCTATGAACTTGTGTATCAGAGAATCTGATGAGCCAGGACCAGCGGATCTGCTCCAGCCTGGAGGAGAAGCTGCAGCTCTACGCAGAGCTCTCTGCTCTGAGTGGGAGGACGGACGCTTTGCTGGTCGAACCGCGACTGCTCTTCCAGCCTCACTCAGAGGAGCTGCCACAGGCTGCCGTGTTGCTGGCTGCAGCTCTGCAAGAGGGTGAGACATTTTGCATATACTTTTACATATACATAAGAAATGGCAATGGTTACTTTGACCCCCCTATTTAGCATTTATAAGCACTATATAAACATTTAATAAATGGTTTATAACACACCATAATGTGTAGCAGATATGACATTTTTAAGTGTGCGATGGGATCCTATAGGCACATATATGTATATATAGTAATTTTTATATATATATATATATATAGTGCATATACTGTATCTTTCCCCTAGTATTTTATATATTATTCATATAGTTATCTTGCTAAAGATCAGTTTCTACATACATTCATTGACAATTGCAGTCCAGTTGTTTTAGTGGTATAAATGTATCAGGGGTTTTGGTATAATGTAACAAATTAGCAATCAGATTAACAATCTAGTCTATTTAGTCTTTATCTTGGATTGGCGACCTGTGTACCCTGCCTTTCACCCCAAGGTCAACTGGGATTGGCTCCAGCCCCCCCGCGACCCTGTACCCTCTATAAGCAGTTGATAATGGATGGATGGATGGTTATTATCTCTTAGAAGTCTTAGAGGGACAAGAAGAACATTTTTTCCCTGACAAAGGATAATTGTGGAGTCACAAAATATTTTATAATGTTCTTCTAATAGAACTGTCAGTCTCATATTTAATTGTTTAAATTGATTGAACAGCACACTCAGTTTCACACTGTTTTTGTTTCCCAGCTGAGAACCTGAAAGCCACACTGTCATCTAGGACCTGTTCTCCATCAAGTCACAGCCCAGACTCTGACACAGACTCTGTGTTTCCTGTCAGCCCTGCTACACTTGTACAGCCCCCCTCAGACTCTGAGGCCTCACCTGAAAACCCTGAGACCAGGGAGGGGGGTTGTACTGAGGCTCTTGTGCTTCAGTCCCCAGCTCTCTTGCAAAAAACAGGCACAAATGACGTTGATTTGAAGGTACAGCACAGTCTCCGGTATATAAAATGTATTTAGCTTATAGCTATTCTTGTATGATGTATTTTATGTTTTTAAGTTAAATATTGATGCAGCAATATGATGTGTTTTCCATTACTGTAGTTGTCATGGTATTGCAGAGGTATTATAGGTCATTATAGCCTCTTGCAGCCTGCATTTGACTGTCACCTCTTTCCATTTCCTCACAGTTGTGTTAATAATTCAGTGCAATCTATTAGAATTACCTTTCAGTCTTAATGTGATGAATTATTGATAAGCTCATAATAATGGAAGAAGTCAATTTAGTTCCCAAAGGTATTGCAACATTAAAAATGGATATGGAGAGTTATTCCAATTACCACAGTTGTGCTACAGTTTGCAGCTTTTTGTGACCTGTGAGGTAAATGACTCGGAAAAGAGGGAATCACTTTCTTATCGACTGCAATGTGATAATTTAACCTTTAACAGGTAGGACATCATGCGGCCTCACGGTGGCGCAAGTGTTGCATGAATGCAACTTTAAATTTTGACTCTCCATTAGCTTGCCATGAGAGGAAAATATTTTGACTTCCCTGTGATTAAAGTGTAACTCGTTGTTTAGCACAGAAATAGACATGTTTGCCTCAAAATCATACATGAAATACAAAGCATGTTTGTTAATCTGCATGTTGTGTGTGATGCTGTCCATTAACAGGTTGCTCAAAGTGTCCAAAGCCTGATGCAGTTACTCTACAGTCTGCAGGTGAGTACGTTACTCAACATACACTTAACCATAAGCTTCTTTTTATCCTGCTTTCAGCCCTCGGTTATATTATTATATTTGTATCATATAATCTACTGTAAATTATATTATTATGAGCAATTCAGCAAATGAACAAACCTCTTGTGTTGTCATTAAGATCCTATTCATGCAATGTTAGTGTCATACTCAGTCAAGATAAAGGCTTAAATATACAGATTCAGTAAACAGAGAACCAACACTGCACTCGGTTGTTTGAAGCCAAAGGTAGCGAGCTATGGGAGCCTACTGATCTTTTCCTGCTGAGAGACATATGAGGGTCTTTTGTTTCACTATACCCACACTCTGCTGTTGGGTAAAAAATGTAAATTTAGAGTGTGTGTGTGTATTTGCATAGGGGCTTGTGTATACGCACTTTTGCAAATCTGTGTGAGTTTCTGATCTCAGTGATATTTTCATATTCAAAGTTATGTATCCCTTCATGCATACAAACCTGAAAACCACAGTTTTTCCAGTAGGGGTGGGATCATTTCACCACTTAAAGAGATGCTGTTGCCTTAACACATAAAAAGTCAGGGCACCCAGTAGAGCCTGATCATAATTTCCATCATGTTTTGCCATTCAAATCACCTTCTCTTACTGCCTGTTGTGAGTATTTCACATGTGGTTAAGTAGTAGTCAAGCTTTTGCATTTTCATGAACCCTATCTCTGTGTCCTTCACTTTCTGTGCCAGGCCATGGTGACCATCCAGGACAGCTGCTATGAGGTCCAGAGGCTCCTCCTCCAAGAGACTGGGCGCCCTTCCCCCCGCGCCCAGCGACGGCACCTTTCAAGCATCAGGGGTAACACCCTACAAGAACAGGAGAAGCAGCGTAACCTGGAGAAGCGGAAGGAGGAAGTGGCGGCGACTCAGCGGCTCCAGGGCCGACTACGCCAAGAAAAGGAACGCTGGGAGAGGGAGTGCCAGGCCAGGGAGAGCCAGCAGGGGGAGCAGGAGAGCAGGCTGGAGGAGAGGGAGAGGCAGTGCCACCTGGAGGCGGAGAGGCTGAGGCGCGAGAGGGAAGAGTTGGATGAGCAGCTGGAGGAGTACCAGCAGAGCTTGGAGCGGCTCAGGGAGGGCCAGAGGAATGTGGAGAGGGAGCGTGAACGGCTGGAGAACCAGCAAAAGCTGTTTCAGACCTGGAGCCACAGCCGGCAGAGGAGTCTACCCACTGTGATTCCTCACATGGTCATCCCTCTAGATGGGCAGCAGGTGGGGATGGAGGTTGGGGGCACACATCTGACAACTGTTTCTTCTGTCTGTGGATTTTAAAATAACCTGATGTTATGTTGTTGGTGATGTTTTATCTGAGGCGTTAGTCAAGGGCTTTGTTACACTGCATACCAAAGCTCTTGACCTTGACATGAGTGTGAGGTAGATATGCAGTGTTTATGTAGTATTTCTTGGCTACAGTCATTAATGAGAAGCTTTTCTCAGACAGCTTTCAGGCTGAGTTACGTCAGTTCACGCATTTTCACAGGGCAGCCCAATCCCCTCTGGATATACGACCTGTGATAATGAGAGCAATTTCAGCATCATTTGTCTTAGTGCTCCAGCAGCACCACTCACCAATAAACATCTTAATGATTGATGATAATTAAACTGTTGCAAATAAAAGCTCAGACAAAATAATTAAAACCTGAGGCACGCAGCCCAAGAAACCAATCAATCGTGTCAGAAAGGACTTAAATTATTGACCCTTTCAAAGGCACTACAGTGAAATGTCCCCCACTGCTGGAAGGCATGGAGGATAAAGGGTGCACTGTTCCCCGTGCCCTTTAGGCGTCAATGTACTTCACATGCACAAGCACCAGTGGGGAAACTAATATAGCGCATACATCTGCGCGTGCCTCTGCTGGGTACGGCTTTGTGCTGCTCAGTTCAGCAGGTGTGGCTATTCAAAAGATGCACACGGGGAGCACAAGCTCAAGTGGGCAGACAAATGAGCAGACTAGTGTTACAATATTCCCTCTTTCCCTCATTAATTTACACACCACTGTGAGCTTTTGCAGGCCATACATGATGAGGCTTTCCTGGCTTTTCGTAGACTTATTTATTTCCATTCATCTATTTTGGTCAGTGCATTAACAGCAGTGGTCTGACAATGGCGTGCGGAGGCAGTTGAGGGCCTAATGTTCCCCTGTTAATGTTTTAGCCAGAGGCAGCAGTTCACAGGGTCAGAGACAGATCGAATGACACACACACGCACACATACGTACACCGGCTCTCAGGTCGTTTCCAATTAGCTGTGCTGCCTCCGCTCGGCAGTTGATGTGAAGATGGGACAGGAGGGAAGGGATATTAGGAGAGGAGAATAGGAAGGGCTGGATCTGTAAGCAAGCTGCAGCAATGACACCCCGCACCTTTCATTAAATGGTCAGTTCACCCAAACGATTAAATATCTTTTCCATTTACATACTTATGTAGTTGTATCTGACCATGCAGATTTTTTTTGCCCAGGGTTTTAGCTGTCCATCTTTCAGTGTTACCTCTACACCAATATAATGGAGATTTGCTTGTGGTGTTCAAAGAAGAAATTAGCAACAAAGTGAATCCAGAGCATCACAAATAAAAATCCAGTTACTTCCATTATATTGGTGTGGAGGCTGAAAACTCTGAAAACTAAATTTTTGTTCAAAACCTGGAGAAACCCCCCCACAACAAAATCATTTATATTATATCTAGATACCACTTAGAGGTAAGTGAGAAAATTGATTTCGGATGAACCACCCCTGTAATTCCTTTTAATTACAGGTTTAAAGATATTGATCTGAAGGTCTATTAACAGTGCCTTTTACAGGTTTTGCCTGTTGAATTATAAAATGTATTTCCTGATGCTTCATGCAAATGCATCAGTGCATTTCAAAGCTGCACTGTTGAGTGGTTTCACAGGTGTAGACACTATTATCAATGTCCATTCATGCTTTAGAAATGAGTCTGAATGTCTGCTCACAGTGTTCTTGATTTTCATCTTTCAGCTCTGTTGCTCTCTCCCTCAGGACTCTGCACCGAGACAACCCAGAGACCACACTGGGAACGGCTCTATGTTTGTGAATGAGGCCGCCTTCACCAGCACCAGCGTCAACAACCGACACGTCCACCACAAAAGAAATGACCCCAGCGCACACAATTGTCTCAACACCCTGCTGGCAAGATCCAACAGCAGACAGCCCCCTATCGTTAAGACTCCCCATAGTCCACGTTCAGACTCCCAGGGATGGATGATGGGGACAGGATATCTCTACAGCCCTGCAGGAAGGCTGGAACTGCAGCACACACCCAGTGGTAAGAACTACCACCAAGTTAATGTTGTATCATGTGTTTTAGAGAGGAAGTTTAAAAAATACAAAAATCTAATGGTAATTAATGGCTAATATAATATGTGCTATTTGCGATGGTGACTTCTATGTGTTGGTCTGTTGTGTTGACTAGGGCTATAACTAATGATTATTTTATAATCAGTTAATAACTTGTTTTGTCCAACAAACAGTCCTAAACAAAGATATTGTGTTCACCATCATATAAGAGGTTTAAGCAGTAAAAGGTTTCCCAACCTTTTTGGCTTGTGACCCCTTAAAATAAAGCACTACTTGTGACCTGGCATCACAAGTGCCAGAAATTATAAATTCTTTAGGCACAAGAAGGTAAAACTATTAGACATTCAAATATCTACCTATTCTATACAGCATCTTGTGAACCCCTTAGATTTAACTTGTGACCCATTTAAGGGGCCTCAACCCCATGTTGGGAAATGCTAAAATGAGATCGAAGCAAATTAGCAAACCCTCACATAAAAGGCTTGAATTATAGAGAATGTTAGGTGTTTTGGCTTGAAAAATGACTTTTTGTTGATAAACTTTATCGAAAAATTTACTAATTGGTGTTAACTGCAGCGTAGACACATTTTTGTACTCAACTCAATAACTTTTCGAGCAATAAAAGGTAGAAACAAAAGCTACAGAGAAAAGTGATCTGATTACTATGTTAATTTCCATATTAATAAGGAAAAACTGTTTTCATATACCATCTGTGAAGGGAACTATGGCATAGAAAACCCACTAATGAATGCATCAAGTAGCTCAGTTACTAATTTTCATTACTGATTATGTTTAATATCCTGTAACTTAGTGCTAATGGCTTGATATTTCAAAGCTCAAGTGCCTTACTTGTTGGACAGCACTGCGCTGTTATCATACTGTCTCTGCTGCTCAACATAAATGAGAAATCTCCTACCTGTGAGAATGTAAACACACCCTCTGCCTGCACTGGTTTCACCCATGTATGTGAGAGCATACTGTACACACACTCTGCTCTCAAGGCTGTATCCCTGGTGAGGCCTTGTCTGTCCTTCCTCTCAGTTAATCAGTGTCGCCTGCCCCCCCCTCTCCCCCACCTGCACAAGCAGCCAGTCTGGGCCCTCACCTGCCAAAGGAAAAGAAAATCAATGGTTCCTCTATCTTTCCACTGGCAGGCCAGACAACAGCATGGGAATCAAAGTTCACAAGCGATGGCTGACTGATTGGGACATCGATCTAAAAAAATCTTTAGAAAACTCATTACAGCATGACTTGTCATCGCATTGGGCAAAGGGGAGGAGGTGCGCATATGGGAATGAGAAATGCAGTATTAATCTGTTGTTTCACTCACAAGGTGTCACCTACATTCCCACGTTTGCCCGTCCTCATTCCTAATCCATTCATGCACGAGCTCATTCTCATAGTCACGGCAGGCGGGGAAAATTACAGGTTACATGTGTTGACTGCAGCTGATGTAGAGTTCCTGTTATTGTTACCAGCTTTAGCAGGCAGCACAATTTCTTCCTCATTGATCAGCTTATTAACCTTTCCTCGTTATTGAGCACACACAAGCCCCAGTGGAACCTGAGTCACTTGTTAACAAGCTAGGGGTGTATACTTGGCTGTAATCTACAATTCAGGGTGCATTCCAGCTGACATCTACCCGCAATGCATTCCTCAGTGGATCCCATGAGGGCCTGTAATGACACTGAATAATGTTCCCCAATCTTCACACAATTCCCTGTTAGATGTAAACCTATATAAGGAGTCATTTTACTGTTTTATGTGTAATCTCAGATTTTATCACCTCCTTTATGACCTCATACTGGATCACGTGCTGTATGGTATGTGGAGGAACCTGGTATCTCTTTCATATGTGAGAAAAGAAAAGGAATCTCTTTCAAATGCAAATTCCCCATTGTGCCCCTCAGTCACATGGATCCAACATAATCTCACTTCTATTCCTCACCTGAGCATGTGAAGATTTCTTCTCAGACACTCACACACACATACAAATACACACCTTTTTTTCATTCAGTGGATGTCCCTAATTTGTTCCTGCACAGTATAATCTTGGGGAACCAGTTTGATGGAATTTTCTGATATGACGTCTCATCTGATGAGTCATGGCAGCTTTTAGTTGCTCACCTTTTCATACAAAGGATGAGACCATCGTGTGGAGCATGACAAATAAAAGAGAGATGAAACGGATGGTCTTTGCAGTATGTGAAACATACTCACAGTATAATGCACAAACCTGTAATAATACTAATGATTATTTTGTTCGATATTAAGATCACAAATAGAATAGAATACAATATTTTTAGTTTATTTTTTAACCACCAGAGCAGGAAACTTGTCTTTGTCTCATCAAATTAGACAATAAATACACAGTAAAAACAATAGACATAAAATAAAAACTTCCCGACATGAGAATACTTTAATACTGTTACATTGATTGCACATGGCGCAAAGATGTTTTTGTTTTTTAGAGGTGTTGTGTAGTATTGTCCGTAAGTCTTTCATTCAAATTTAGTGTGGAGGTGTCAAAGCCTAGCCAACTGTTTGCCACAGTTGAGTTACTATACCAGACTGAGATATTGAACACACACATATTAAAAGGAAGCGCTCTGTGAGACTGACATACCCCTTTTTCTCTGAACATTTTGACAGTCACGGAAACCCATTCATTTCCTAATAAGAAACAGTTTGTCTGTGAAGTTCAGTTTGTTATCAGTGTACCACAATTTCCTAGATACTTAAAACTGTTAAAGGGGAATGGAACATTTGCCACTTCAAAGTCTTTTTACAGGTGTTGGAGAGCATTATTGCATATGCGAAAAAAAAGTTGTATAAAGCCTTCTGTGGCTCCCGCGATGTCACTAGAGTCAGTTTCAGTTGGAGCTGACGACAAGTCTGAAAATGAAACACGTTTGAGGGTGTGCACTGTGGACCTCTGGTGCCCACTTCTCCTCTCTGCCTGAGGCTGGGGGCTCAAGGCTACAGTAGCCACTATTAGCATAGCACACCTGAATCTCCAACCAAACTGTTGGCAGTTGAGATGCGTTGTGGGTAATGTAGGAACCAGGATTTGACAAGAAGAAGAATGCTGGAAAGCATATTCTAACCAGGAAAGACTATTCCCGGCCATTTCTGTAACTTTTAGAATTATCCAACATTCACGCCCACTTCACGCCATGATTGGCCAGCTGGGAGGTGAGAAAGTGAGCTAAGTTTGAACTTCTCTCTCTAGCTATCTTTTTTCATTTGTTACACAACAATTTTTGGCACTTTACGTCTATGCGACCGAGTGCAACACTATCAATGCCTTACAGGAGAGTGTCTGAAAAAGTGTTATCAGTTATCTCCATATTTAAACTGTATCACGTCTCTCCCTTCTCTGTCACTAATCAACACTTTTGATTTCCAACATGGTCAGACAACACACCTTACAAACTACTTCATAAACCACCTTTTTACAACTTACCAGACTGATTACACAGTGAAAGAGATGGTAATGGACATGTGTGATTTAAAATGAGTTCCTTTGTTTTATCAACATTGATTAGCTGGGGGGTAGATTTACACATACTTGTGTTGCATTTTAACAAACAGACTAGGTAAAGCCATCTAATCAGCATTTTTATTCAGGTTAACATTACTATCCTGCAGTTACATTTCATTGCTGTAGACAGAAGGTAACCACTGATTATACTCAGTTTAATCATCAATGTTTAGGGCAGGTTTTTGTGCTTTAAATGTTCTACAGCCCGAACAATGTTTCTCATAAACAGGATGCGTTTGCTGTCTGTGTTGTAACATATTAATAATGCTAAAATCTTACTACTTGGCTAAAGACAGAGATAGAGTAGTTTTATCATCTGGCTGTGCGCTGATGTCTCATCTATCTTAGGCCAGGCCTACATAGTGGCTAACAGAGCTACCCTAACAGACTCCTATATAATTAATCAAACACAGACACTTTCCTACGGGGACACAATGAGGCAATTTATAGTTCACGCCATCTGTTACCATGACAGCACACCTGCCCTAATGCTAGACATCACCCACCATGCAAACGCATTTAAGAAGACACCACCCATAATAACACATTGTCTTTCAGACCTCCTTTAATTGGAAAATGTTGTTATTGGTCCTTGAGTGGGGAACACTCCTGACGCTGGGGATATAATATAAACACTTAAAATCCTGATTATCTGGTTGAAGGCTGCTCCCACTAATATCTTTGTCCTTCCTTGTTTCCAGTCCCTCGTTTCCTCATCTCTTCTTCAACCGTCAAGTGTGAGGAGGCAGGTGTGATCGAATCCCGACCATGACGATTGATTATGTTGACAAAGTTAATGATAAAAGTGACACCTCTAACTAGAGGGGGAATGATGGATAGCTTGAAAATCTTTTTGTTTTCATTCTCAGTCTCACTCTGAGTGAAGTGTATGTGAGGGGGGGGCGGCGTAGCAGGCTGAGCTGTGGCAGCTGGGGTTGATCTATATGCAGTTAGCGATAAGATGAGTGGGATAAACAATTAGACTGAGCTCATTAAACAAGAGGCTACATGTCCCGTCCTGGGGATTATTTATCATTTGTTAGTAAATGATGAATTCTCTGTAGTTTCAGTTTGGTCAGTGTATTATCAGTACCAGTTGCTGCATTTGTTTGAAAAAGTGTAATAATTGTGTTTTTTGTGTGGCCACTCAGATCACAACAGTCACAGCTACATCAGGGAGACCTGGTCATCAATAGCAAGCGGAACTGACCCGTATCCGGTGCTCCCGCATCCCAGTGAACCTCAATTGGACCTCAGCCCACTGGTTTCCTTGGAGACTGACAGCGGTGGGGAGGAGAGCAGTGAGGAAACCATTGTGTACCTCTGAATGTTGATCCATTTCAGACTCTAAAGAACCAGCCCAGCACATGGGAAAAACTAATGACATTCAATGAAGCATCAGGATTGGATCCGGGGTGGCTCTTGTACAGTCTTTTGTCATGCTTGTTTTTATATTTCATTTTGTGGTCTTTTTTGTGTAAAGTGACCAGAGATAAAAGAAATGAGGTTGTTTCAGACTCAGTCTCACATGTGTCATGCACCTTAGCTCGAGGCATCACTGGGTATTAGATGTCTCTTTATTTTCTTGGGGTGTTTGTGTGTGTGTTTGTGGTCTTTATTAACTGGGTCCCTGCGGCCACACCTTTCACGCTTTCCGCCATCTCTGCTTCTTACTGTCCTTCCTTTACTGCCTTTCTTTCTCAGGTCCCACATATCTCGTCCCTCGAGCACTCTATTTATTAAATTCACCACAGAAGGAGAAAAAAAAACACTTTCAACACTTTGTTCACTTTCAACAAAACATCAGGCTGCATCTCTCTAGCGGACCATGTTTTCTGATGGAGCAAACTGCCTCTCTGTCATGTATCAGACAGGGTCTGTTTATGCACAAGCTGAGCATAACAGTAGAATTGAAAGATGAGACGCGACAGCATCATTCCCACATTTTTCAGACTCACTGCCTGAAACCATCATTTATTTATTTTTTATCTGAAGCATGCTTTTCTTGTTGACAGAAATAAGCTGTTGTGGTTTTAAGAGGTATGTTGCAGCCATGCTAATATGTCAGTTTTATCAGAAAGTAGAAATTCAACAGCAAAAGCCTGACAAAGTTTTGAGCACAGCTGTTATTGTAAAAAAGTAAAAGGAAGTCGTGGTGCAGGAAGAGGGACAGAAGGAAAACATGTTGGGTCAAACCATTTTAAGCACTAATGTAATTATTTTACAAACATTTCTGACTACATTTTTGTCTTTGTGTGTCACTTTTAGTCACGCTAGCAATATTGCTCTACAGTCATTCGGTCTACCACTTACTGCACCAAAAACTGCAATACTTTGGTTTATTACCTAATACCTGAAAAACTAATGTTGACATTCCCATCAGCCTTAGCTGTGCTTTGTGTTTAGTGGTAATTAGCAAATGTTAGGATGCTAACACCCTCAACTAACAGGGTGAAAATGGTAAACGTGCTAAATATGAGCATGCTGACACTTTTAGCTCATCATTTAGCTCAAAGGACCACTGTGCCTTAGTATTGCCTCACAGAACCGGTAGCTGACTGTAGACTCTCTTGTTTGAGATTTCTGCCTGTACTTTAAAAACATCCTATGTTTATTTTATACAAGCTGTAAAGACTGGAAGATGTTGTCCTTAAATTATCTTTGCAGGCACACAGAACAACCTGAAGTCGCCTTATTCTGTCATGCTTAATGTTAAACTATTACACTTGAATATCAAGTAGTATATTTACATATTATCTTAAATGGGTGTTTTTATGTGTAAAAAGGTCTCTGTGCCAATTCTTTAGGTGTCTTATTTTACGGACACTATAAAATATTAATTGGTTTAATTACTGTTGTTACTGTAGTTTCTTAATGGGACAGTAAGGCAGTGGCAGTATTTTGATGTGATTTTAGTAACATGTATATATGTTTGTGCTTTTATTTATTTATTACAGTAAGAGTTTAAATATTGTACAGTGCTTTTTGAAGGGTTGTATTATACATAGAAGTGTACCTGTGTGAACAGATGAGCAGGTGTGTTTTTGTTCGTTGTGTTGTGTATCCAGACATGGCTGTATTGATAAAACTGCTTTTATTGAACTCGAAACAGTGCTTTGTTTTTTCTTCAGGCTATTAAATGGTGCTCAGTGTAGGTGTCAGTACAATAAAAAGGTGAACACAAACACAATGTCCAGCTTGGGTGCAAGTATCGCTTCAGTTTTATGGTACTGGTTTGAATGTGAAGCGTCTCCAACAGCGTAAACAGATGTGTGGGTGAGCTGCTCATTCAGTTGCCAGCAGTGACAGGTGGGAGACCAGGTGCATGAATGTCAATGATTTCCCATTTGGCTGCACCTCTGAATTGCAGTCACAAAAACTACATCAGTATTGGATGAATGCAATATGTTGTGGGTCGTTACATTCTTTAAAATTTACGGATATACTTAATACTTTTGTGGGCAGAAAGATTCCCTCCAATCAAAGCATGTCTCTTGACAAAAAACTAAAAACAGACAGGTTAATTGCAGCTCTCATGCTTTTCCTGACAGCAGTAATGTATTTCATATGCCCCACCTGTGTCTCTGCTGCTCTTTCCATTTTAGTCATATGAGCAGATGCCTGAGATCAACAGGGTCCCTTCTGTACCCTCAATATGCACCTTATAATTTCACAGAGGTGCTGCATACACACACCCACTTCATTCCTTGTCAGCCTTATTCTTCAGGATTTTTGTAGCTTATTAAATTGTGCTGTATTAAATGTAATTTGCAAGAAAGGATTAGACCTTATTCTTACTTAATCAGCAACCCCCCATTTTAAGTCTGATGATACAGGAAAAATGAGAACAGAGGTGGATAAGCTGTTCTGATTAACTATTACAAGCAGATGTAATTTTGGACATGATTAAATATATAATATTAAATCAGATCAGTGTGCGGTAGTTTTTTTTTTTACTTTTCATAATATTAAATCACTAAACCATCTACGGGTCAACAAAATGTTATGCCTACTTTTTTCATGACTTTGAATAACTGCTGTCTGTTATTTGTATACATCTCTTATCTGCTGCTATGTTACAAACCCTCCAGCTGTCGTTAGTTTCGCTGCACTACAAATCTGGAACAAACTTCTGGGAGATCTGAGGTCTGCTCTAAATCTAACTTCTTCTAAATCAATACTTTTCTGTTTATTAAGTTTGGGACTGTAACTTTAATATATATATATATATATATATACTTATATATATTATTTATAATTTGTAATTTATTGAGATTTTCAACATCAAATGTTCTAATGCATTTTCTTTACTTATCGAAGCACTTTGTGTTGCGTTTCATTTCTCTCTTTGATCTTTTACACCAAAGACTATGTGGACATGTGAACAGACCTTTGTTTGATCCTCTTTGTACTTCTGGTAGCCCTTCAAGGATCCATTATGGTTATCATCTTTGCTGTGAAAATTAAGATTACACTCTCTTCCATCAGCCCTTTTTGAGTCCGTAGTGGAATACCTCACGTAATCAGTTTTGAAACTCTGTGTTCGCTTCAGTAGCTTTTGCCGTGTTTTTATAGACCTTATAGTCGTGTATAATGACAGTGTTCCTTATTTGCCTCTGCATCTTGTTGAGTTCTGGTTGAAGGAAACCTGTCAAAGGCACCAAACAGCAAACAGGGATTATTTGTGTTTGTATCTGACAAAGAGAGACAGTAGAAAGGCAAGAGCATATTTTACTATGCACGTCATGGAGATGTATCTATATGTACCTGTCTATTTTGTGCTTGACAGGTGTTTTTGGACAGGCACATGCTCTCATACTATGATGTAACTGCCAATCAACTATATGGGAATTTCCAGTTCAACTGACTGTCTCTGATATCATTCCGTAAAAGGCTTTTCATTTCCTGATAACTTCCAAGTTATTGATTAAGATTTCATCCCGCTCTGTTAACAATGGAGCCAAAAGTGTAAATATCCTATATCCTATAACCATACACACCACACTGCAACTGAATTAGTGTTCAATACTTAATAACTCTGTTTCACTCCTTCAGCTTCAGTCTATGTGGATTCAATAATCAAAAGTAGACCCCTCCTCATTACTCTGTCTGTCTTCTCTATTTGCTTTTTAATGACCCCTGTGGAAGGTAACCAATAACACAGAAGGAAAAACCGATAAAGGGGAAACATATTATCGCTGAGTCATCTGCCAGGGTGAAACATACGTTACTAAAGTCTTTCCCAAGGGGACGTGTAATGATTTCTGTAGGCGCACAGAATAAACCTGCCCAGCTGAAATATAAATAACAACCATTAAAGCTTATCCCAGTGAGGCACACTTTTATGAGAAACCTGCACAATATATAGCATATATACAGGTTATTAGATTTCTCGTGGTAGTGAAAAATAGTAACAAGCTAGACTAAATATACAGACTGCTCACAACTGCAGCTAGAGGAGAAAATCTACGATGACTGTAACAACTTACTGTATATTTGTTTGACCTTCAATACTTAATAATACAAGATTTTCTTTTTTTCTCTATTTGTATATTTGGTGGAACTAAATATTTCAGTGAAAATTTAACAATCCTTTTAACATGTCTTTTCCAGCATTAGCACTATTTGCAAAAATGCAGTGTTACTTTTGAAGTGAGAAAGCTGCAGCCAAAAGTCAGAGCCTCAAAGTAATGGCATGCAGGTCAGATACGGCAGTTTTTTATGACCTCCCTGCAGGTTCAAGTAGCAAAGGTTACACAATTTCTAGACATCTCACATTATGCCTGGGAAAACTAAATCTGTAATTTTTAAATACATTTTTGCAGTTGACTATAAAATGATATTGTGAGCTGGAGCCTGCAATAAAATGCCAGCAGAGGCTTTTCCCTTTCGTCTGAACATCAAGAGGCGAATAGATGCAGATTAGTCCAGAAACAGAAGTTAATACTTATGCACAAATGAACCACAAAAAGATGGTTTCAATTAGGACTTATTTACCTTGTAATGGTTAACTTTGGCTGCAAATGATCCGTGTTTGTTTGCTTTTAAGACATTTCCATATTAAGTAATGCCAAGATGGATATATTAGAGCTTTGGCAAAAAATACATCAATCAGTTGGTCAGAGTTACAACTTGGAAGTTGATTTTATAAGCTGGAAAATGGCAAATATGTTCCTTCTGTGTGACGTGAACGCAGCATTAATAGGCTTGCCAACATTGTTATTATGAGACTGCTTTACAAATTTATAGTAGGCTACATAAGTCTCCTAGTTTCCCAGATTGAGATTGGAGGCATCACTACATGACATCTCCGAGACAGACAAAACAGAATCACAAAAACATTTCTCTAATTTTCTCTAAGTAAAGAAATATTTTGTATGAAACCTGCAAAGACTGATTGTGTTGGCTCCTTGGGGACAGTGGAAACAAGCACTGAAGACAACACTCAGATATGATTACCTTAGTGAAAAGTTGTCAATTTACACCTCCAGCAGATAAAGAGCAACATTAACAATCTGTTGAAGTTGTGTTTGTGTCCACCTGAAGAATGTTTAGTCCAATATTCACTCTCTGTTTAGCTCTGTGTTTGGTCTCCAACAACTCCTGAAGGAAATATCTGGTTCTTTAGCAGCTTAATACTCCACTATATTCACCAGCCTCTAACTGTGTCATTTGGTGTTGAGCAGGTAGCCTTAAAAAGCTGCCTGCTGCTGCCATAAATTACATGAGTGTTTTCAAAGTTATTCAAAACAGGAAATTGGTGGACCATAAAATTAAAACTACACAGACAGAGATGGTACAAGGTTCCATAAGGCTGAGGGAGACCAAAGGGTCAGGTGGTAATGATCTCTGTGGGCTCGTCTAGCAGCTAGCAACGCACATCCACAAATAATTTCATCCATCGTTAATATAAAAATAGTAGTTATAGCAGCTTTAAAGCCATGTTGGATATATCAGAGCTTTTGGAAAAACACATCCATCAGTTGGTCAGAGTTATGACCTGGATGCTGGTTTTATAAGCTGGAAATAGGCAAATATGTTCCTTCTGTGTGACATGAACACTGCATTTTTCACATTAATTCAAGCCAGTATATTCACCCAATTGGCACAAACTCGAGCAGGGGGTTAAAGTGGTCATATGTAGCTTTTCAATGAAATCACTTTATTTCTGCCTTTTGTAACCTCACTTAGAAATGAAGCACACATATGTTTTCTCTGTTGCTTGGAACAGCCACTATTCTGCTTTTAATGTGAAGGTATTGGTTCGGGCAGCTGCATATGCTCGCCCAAGCCTCTCTTTGACTACACCACAGCTAACGAAATGCAGTCCACTAACACCATAAAGCAACCGGTTCCCTGCACAACACAGACTCCAACATAAACTCCACGTAAGGATACAAAATAACATTAAAGGTTTATGTGCTGAAGCCTGTAAGTCCAAGAATCAAATGATGTCGGGTGAAAACACAATCAACATCATAAAGGCTGGAGTCATGGAGGTAGTCACGTTAGCTTGCCAGCTAACGCTGAGCAGTTGCTAACAATATCCGTTGCAATATAATATGTAAAGTTATGGCTTTCCACATTACTTGACCAGCTAACACAATCCACATTACTATCCTGTGTACTACCGGTATTATGTCAAAGTGTAGATTTTTGCCTGCAAGAAATGATGTGACGGTACAAAGCAAATGTGGAGCGATTTGTTTATACTAGCCTTGATGCGAGGCAAGAGCAGCCAGCTGCTTTAGCACGGATCTACAGTACATTTAACTGTGTAGTTCAAATTCAAGCTAATAAAATTATTACTGTAACGGTCCAGCATGTTGTGTAAAGCTAATTCTCTGTCTGTCTATAGTTGCTGTCACATTGCCTTTTTTTCCAGGAGTATTGTGCCAATTAATATGCTGGCTCACTGCGACGTATGAGCCGCGAAGTTGGTAGAAACAGAGCCTGAACAAGTCTGTCTGTTTCTGTGTCGATTGTGGGATCTCTGTATGAAAGTGGTTGTGTTCTGAATTATGCTCACTCATGAGTTCAAGCCTATGGCTCAAGCACACGAGCACATACGAGCACACAACTGGTTGCAATCTTAAAACCGCACCGCTA